AATTCCAGTGAAAACATAGCATCAACGAAGTCAAAAAATTTGTTTGTGCTTATTTTAGGAGGAATGTATACTACAAAAATGTATAAAGGATTATACATGTCAATAATTTTAACACATAGCACATCAATTTCCTCTAAAGAATCAAACAAAGTTCCCTGTAGATCCACTACTACTGCAGCCAGATATTGTTTAACACCTAATAAAACTCCCCCACCTCTAGATTTATTTAATATTTCAATAAATTATCGATAGAAATGAAATCCATGTTGAATCTTAAAAAAAATTCAATTCTACCCTTAGTTATCTCTAATGTAGGTGTAGTCCCAAAACAAAATTCAAAAAGCTGTTTTGTTAGGAACATGTCATATTGTTCGTAAGTTTCTCGAACAGTCTGATCATGTCAGTCAGATTAGATTAGCACCAGTAGGTCAGAGTAGTGTAGGTCACTTTCCAAGTGATGCGCGGATAAATGATCGGTTGTTACGCTAGAATTTTGGGGATGGGGTGAGATTAGAGAATAATAGCAGACTAATTTGTATGCTGTAATTCTAGCATCTCGAAAGTTGTTTTGTTAATCTAATCAATGCATATCATTACTTGGTCTTAGTACCCGTAATGGTAGAAGTCTTGCCTGAATGCCGGTCATTTCCGGATCAGTGGTGGGTCTTAAAATAATAATTTATTTTATACAGGTACATAACCCAATTATAGAAAATATAAAATAACATATAAAAGAACATATATTTAGAACAACAATTGGTTACTATATTTAAAAAAACGACGAAACGAACGGTTATGTAATGAATAGTGTAATGATCGAACAAATTGATTATACTTTTTTCGGTAGTTCGCAGACTGTCAAAATGTATGCCACATATTGATGATATATTATTATTAATCTAAGATGAAAATAGGTGATTTACACAGAGTATTGGTTCTACATGTAGCTGAAAAGATGGTTGTCAATTGTCGCACATTTAATCGGGGTACTATGAAATTTATTTTATTCAACAGCCACTTGCAGCTTATCTTGTTCAATTATTTGTTCATAAAAACTATGCTTCATATGAAATGGTCATATCCTCTAACCGGATAGTTACCGTCTTTTACAAAACACAAAAATTTTAAAAATCGTCTTTGCACAATCTTCTAATCTACTACGCACTAATGCAAAATACAAAACACTTAGCGTTTGTGTATCTTGGAAATCTTTACAATTTCGAATAATCAGACCATACATAGAGTATGCCTTTTTAACAATCTCTGTTATATGCAATACAAATGTGAACTTATCGTTAAATAATACTCCCAGGTCACGTACAGTCTCATTACGCTGTAGAATGGCGGTTCCTATTCTGTAAGAAAATTCTGTTTTGATAAACTTTCGAGAGAACGTCACAACGAAATATTTAGATATGTTTAGTTGAAGCCGGTTCTTGACGCACCAAGTTACTAAAGCATCTCAATCAGCTGAAGAGCGAACTTCCAGGAATAATTTTAAGTCGTCCGCAAACAATGAGTTATTACAAGATACTAGTGCATTCGTCACATCATTAATGAATATTAAGAATAGCAGGGGGCCGAGATTTGACCCTTGCGGGACTCCCCATATTGAGATGTACACTTCAGAAAAATCCCCGCCATGTACAACTTGTTGTCTTCGATTAAAGAGATAAGACTTCATTAAGGCCAATAACGGGGTTGAGAAGCCAATACGATCCAATTTATGAAGTAAGATGTTGTGGTCAATTTGATCGAACACTTTTTGCAGATCTGTATAGATGGCATCTACCTGATTATTTCTATCTATTATTTCCGATGTAAATTGCGTAAAAGTGGCTAAATTCGTGGCAGTGGAACGCGCTTTCATGAAACCATGTTGGTCAGGTGAAATTAAATTACGTACCGAGTTGTAAATGTGAGTAGAGAGAACGCACTCAACTACTTTTGAAAAATTGTACAATATAGATATTGGTCTATAATTGATGATTTGAGAAGTATCACCTTTTTGGTGAATAGGAGTAATTTGTGCTAATTTCCAAAGTTCGGGGAAAGTCGATATTTGAAGGATTAAATTGAAGATATGACTCAGTGGATTTGATAAAACATAAGCAGCATCTCCTAGAAAAAAACTCGGTACATCATCAGAACCGGACGTTATTGTATTTTTTGCCACTTTCATAGCCCGTATAATTTCATCTTCAGTTATAGAAGACAGACTGATGGTCAAATTATTGGCAAATGTTTCTGAAACCATGTCGGCACTAATAGGCTGGGAAGAAGTGTAAACACTTTTGAAAAAATCAGCAAAGCTGGTAACTATATCCGTCCGATTAGAAATGGTTTTTCCATCGTATGTTAGTACTCCAGGTATACGCGTCTTGCCTTGTTTAGAATGAATGAACGACCAGAATTTCTTGGGGTCTGTGATAATGTTATTTTCAATATTCCTAATATATTTTGCGTATGCTATACAAATTTTCTTTTTAACATCTGTTCTGAGTCACTTAAATTCAATATATTTCTGGAGATTATGATTCGACAGAAATGTTTTACGCATATTGGTTTTTAATCGAAGAGTTCTTATAATATCCTTATCGAACCAAGGTGGATAATGACGGCATTTTCTTGTGAAAGCTCCAGTCTTTGGTATGTATAAATCAAAAGTTCTAAATAAAATTGTGTAGAAGTGTTGACAAGCTAAATTAACATCTTTAATTTTTCCAAGCTCAGACCAATTAATACCCAATAATGCATTATATAAACCAGGATAATCCGCTTTTTTAAAGTTATAGATATAATTGTTTGAATTTAAACAAAAGATATCAGCCTTTTGAATGTTGCAGTCTATATCAAATTCTAATGGAGGATGAAATGCGTCTTCTTGGACTAGAGGGAAGCTAGACTTTTCAACATGACAAGAGGAAGAAGAGAATATAAGATCTAAAGTATTACCGAAACAATTACTTACATTACACAAAGTGATTCAAACATTGACTGTGGTTATTATTAATATTACTGCTATCCGTGAATGTATCAAAGTCTCCTAGAAAAAGAACAGTCCTATCATGTATTTCGTCAATAATACCAGCATATTCGAAAAATCTTTTATATTATTATAGAAAGAGGTTAATTTAGAGTTTAAATCCCTTACGTTTTGGTACATGCATGTTATTTTAGGTCGTCGGTCCGAAAAATCATTGAAATCATTCTTAGAAATAGAAAGCGCATCATCATTTTTTTAAAAAAGGATTAACTGATCGAGAGGATGTGGGAGAAGTCCCGTTAGTCAAAATAATCGTTTCTTTTATCAAAATACCATCAGCCACATGCTTCATTGTCGATCTTTTGGAAGCCTCTTTGAATGTAAAATTAATAGTTTTAAATTGTTTTTCTAAAATATTGCTCGAGTCCAAATAAAATATGTTATTGTTAGATTCAGCTAGTCTACGCAGAGTGTCATTTAGTTGATAGACCAAACTATTTAAAATCGGGCGTTTCAGAAAATAGGGACGTCCTATAAAAACGGTATTCATATTCTTTATTGTATCAGCGAACGTACTCATCGTGAGTAGTATGCCGGATTTTACCTCATGATTGCCACCAAAAATAATTAGTCAGATAATAAGACAACTTTCTTTTGATCTTCATAGCCTTAGGGGTCTCAGGAACATTTATTACTAGAGGTGGACAAGGTTGAGTTGTTAACTTTGAATTAAATGAATAAATGTACAGTGTACATGTATTATTATATAATATAGGTGCAGTCAAATAAAACAATTCAAAGAATTTTTTATTCCTACACCAGTTATAAATCATGCTGGCTTAACAAAGTTTAAACCAAAATCTATCAATCGAAGAGCTCAGCAACAGGAACTTTTTTCAGAAAATCATTAAATGTCGCACCAAAGTACGGAGCAAACATCCCTTCATCAAACCCTTTAAAAAGAACAAATATTTGTTCCCATTTTGCATCCATAGCATTGTTAAATTCTTCATTCAGGATCTTATTGGAAAAGAAATGTTTGTAGTCAAATTTACCGCCCTGTGTTTGCATCTCGAATTTGGTATCGATGACCCTAAAGTAAGTAGCACCTTTCTCGTACTCTTCCAGTTCAAAAGTAAACGTGAACGTTGGATCAACTAAAAGACGTTTCTTATAGCGGTTAGAATGTAGAAGTGCACAGAATACCTACTGAACGTGAATACGACAGGTGTTTTGACGTTTACGGGTAAAAGAACAATAGTACCTTGAGACTCACAATCAGTTTCAATTGAAAGTTCAGAGTAAGTCGCTTCGATTGTCAAAGTAGTAGTCAAAGGACCGAAATCTAATCTGTTGTAAGAATATAAATAAAGCGTAAAATCTACTTTAATATTAATACTTAGCATTTATGTTCTCTGGTTTCGACAGCCCGATCAATTTAATTTGATCATACTTCTGCAGCAACCCGTAGGTACGGTTTCCCAATTCAATAACCAGGTCTGGAAATTCGACGTCGTACAAACTTGGTAAACCATGCGACGGCTTGTCTAAGATTCTAAGAGCACCATGAATAGATTCACTTAGGCACTGGTTAAAATTGGTTCTTTTTCTGTCACATTTTTTTAAACTGGAAGCTTAATTATTTGGTTACTATCATCGAAAATTCGTTATTCTCCAATACTACTTACGAAGTTTGAGACAACTACCAAAAGCCACTACGGTTAATAAACAAAACGCGAAACTGTTCATTTTCGTGCTGGAATCCATTTACTAAATTTAGAAACTTTGGCGGTTTAAATATATGTTAAGACATCAAAAAAATAATGGATCAACAATTTCAAAACCTGCTTGATGCAAGGTAACCAGGCGAGTCTCAGGTTTTAGTTAAAATGCTGATGTTTGCATAATTGATCGTTTTAACTAGTTGTCGGTGCATAGAGATAATTAAGTACCATTTGTTTTTTTTTGTTCTTCTTATCAAGGATAAGGACATACAGTAATGGAGTTCATCGGGCAATTTGATACATTCTTTTATTACTCGATTACAAATTGTGCAGCTTTAACAAAGTTTCAATGAAAATCTATCAATCGAAGAGCTCATTAACGGGAACTTTTTCCAAAAAAGCATTAAACATCCTACCAAACAAGGGGGAGAACATCGCTTGATCAATATCTTTAAAAAGAGCAAATATTTGCTCCCCTTTTGCATCCATAGCATTATTAAACTCTTCATTTAGAATTTTATTGGAAAACAACTGTTTAAAGTCAAATTTAAAATCTCGTATTTGTCTGTCGAGTTTGGAATTGATCACCCTAAAGTGAGTAGTACCTTTCTCGTACTCTTCCAGTTCAAAACTAAAGGTGAACGCTGGATCAACTAAAAGATGTTTTTTAAGACGGTTATAATGTGTGTGTACATTTTAGAATACTTACCGAACGTGAATTCGGCAAGTGTTTGTACGTTTACAGGTAGCAGAACAATAGTACCTTGAAAGTCGCAATCAGCTAAGTAAGTAAGTTGAGAATAAGACGCTTCTATTGTCAAAGTACTGGTCACAGGACCAAAATCCATTCTGCGTAACAAAATATATATATAACAAAAAACGTAACTAAAAATGGATATAAATACTTAGCGTTTATATTTGTAGGTTTCGAGAGCCCTATCAATTTTAGATGATCATATTTCTGTAGCAGTCCGTAGGTACGGTTTCCAAAAGAGATAACTTCGGGGAGAGTAACGTCATACAAACTTGGTAAACCATATGACGGTAACGGTTTATTCAGGATTTTCAGAGCACCATGAATAGCGTCACTTAAACACTGGTTAAAATCGGTTCTCTTCTTATCACATTTTTTGAAACTGGAAGCTTGGTTATTTGTTGACATAGTTTGAAACTTTGTTTTTGTCCGAAACTACTTACGAAGTTTGAGGCAGCTACCACAAGCCACCACGATTAATAAACAAAGCGCCACTCTGTTCATTTTACGTCTAATCAATTTAGAATTTTGGCGGTTTAAATATATCCTCAGACATCGGAAAAAAAATAATGGGTCAACAATTTCAAACCTGCTTGATACAAGGTAACCCAGTGAGCATTTTGTTTGTTTACTTAACTGCTAGTTTTATTTTCAATCTCACCTTATAAATTTTCTAGCGAATAAAACGGTGGATGCGCCGGGCCAGCGTGATGTTAAACTTGCTCTAAATTAAAAATTAAAATAACTTTGTATGTTTTGGACAACATGATCTAAAAATAGCACAACCTCCTCACTAAAGAAGTGGTTATGTAAATGTTCACTTATTATTATGTATATCTGTTGTTATATAATATATGTGAAGACAAATAAAACAATAACGTACAAGATTTTATTATTCTAGACTGCAATTTATGCAAATGTAACAATGTTTAAACAAAACATCTCAATCAAAAAGTTCAGCAACAGGAACTTTTTTAAGTAAAGTGTTAAAGATTGAACCAAACCGTGGAGCGAAAATCGCTTCAAAGCTTTTAAAAATAGCAAAAACTAATCGCCATTTTGCACTCATAGCAGAATTGAACTTTTCGTTCAGAACTTTGTCGGAAAAGAGTTGTTCGAAGCCGAATTTAATGCCCTCTACTTGCATGTCTAGTTTGGAATCGATTATTCGAAAGTAAGTAGTACCTTTTTCGTACTCTTCCAGTTCAAATGTAAAAGTGAAAGTTGGGTGATCTAAAACATCGATTTTTGTAGCAATCATAATAAACGTGTGCTTAGAATACCCACCAATAATATTTGCGACAGGTGTTATGACATTTACCGGTAAGACAACAATAGTACCTTTAGCCTCACATTCAATTTCTAGCGTAAGCTGAGGATAAGTAGCTGCTATGGTCAAAGTACTAGTCAAAGGACCGAAATCTAATCTGTGTAAGAAAATAAATAATTAAAACGTAAAATCAAGGTTAAAATAGTACTTAGCGTCTATATTCTCTGGTTGGGATAGACCGATTAACCTAAATTGATCATATTTCTGTAGCAGCCCGTAGGTACAATTTCCAAATGTAGCCACAAGGTCTGGAAATTCGACATCGAACAAACTTGGTAAACCATGAGAAGGCAAATGTTTCTTTAGAATTCTAAGGGCACCATAGATAGCTTCACTTAAACATTGGTTGAAATCGGTTCTCTTTCGATCGCATTTCTTGAAACTGGAAGCTTAATTACTTGGTTACAAAAAGCGAAAGTTTGTTTTTCTCCGAAACTACTTACGAAGTTTAAGGCAGCTACCAAGAGCCACTACGATTAATAAACAAAACACAAAACTGTTCATTTTGCGTGTCGGAATCTATGTAATAAATTTAGAAATTTTAACGGTTTAAATATATCTTCAGACATCGAAAAAATAATAGAAACCTGCTTGATGCAAGGTAATCCGGCGGGCGTTAGTGTTTGCATAACTGCCAATTATAATTAGATGGTGTTTAGACATGAGAAAATGTTATTCCGAAGTTTAATTGTTATTATAAATTATGAGGAATTTTAGTTCTAAAGTAAACAAACATGAATAAAGTTTATGATATATTAAACGTTAGCAACAATCCTTCATTTTAAGAAGTTTAATGTTGTATTTACATCTTTAATTTTCGATACGGTATTAAACAAATATAAATTTGAAAAATAATCAAAAATTCTCACAATGATTGAAATTTTTTTCCTTAAAACCAATGTCTCCTAATTTTTATCATTTTTTGTAGAAGTTAGTCATCAGTATCTGCTAAGAAAAGCTGATTTTAGCAAATGATATACTTTCTAAGAAAAGAGAGGGTGGGTGGGTGGGGTTAGTACCAGCTAAGACAAAACTGATTTTGGCTGATGAGATATCCTCTAAGAAAACAGAGGGTGGGTGGGTGGGGCTAGTATCTGTTAGGATAAGACTGATTTTAGCAAATGACGTATCCACTAAGAAATTTAATTAAAGTAATATAAGAAAAGACATTAGAGGTTCCTAATCACTTACAAATTCTTTCCGAACAAGAACCTGAAGATTGTTTTAATTTTTCAAAAAAAAACGGGGTCCCAAAATTGACTCAAAAATAGGTCAGGCCAGAATTTTCCAAAAATAGAATACCAACGCGGCCAAAATTGTTTTAAATAATTTACAAAATAAATATCCATGGGCTTCGAAAATAATACACCATGGGTACCCAAGAGCGTCCCCAATTGAAAAAAAAAACACTACACCCCTCGAGACTTTTTTAAATTCGTAAAAAAGCTCAAAAGATTTTTTCAAGTTCATAGCGCAACAAAACATCAGATTCGTTTAAATTTATCCGAAAATAAACACCAGGGGACCTAAAATTAACTGCAGCACTCTTTTCTGAGAGGGTATGTCATTTGCCAATATCGATCTTATTTTAGCAGATACTAACCCCGCCCACCCGCCCTTATTTTCTTAGAGTGATCTCATTTACCTAAATCAATTTTACCTTAACAGGTACTAACCCCACCCACCCATCCTCCCTTTTCGTAAAAGGTATCTCATTAGCCTAAATTGGTCTTATTCTGAGAGGATATGTTATATGCCAAAATTATTTTTATGTTAGCAGCTACTAGCTAAGACAAAACTGATTTTGGCAAATGACATAACTTCTAAGAAAAGAGAGGGTGGGTGGGCGGGGCTAGTACCTGCTAGGATAAGACTGATTTTGGCAAATGAGATCTCTCCAAGAAAATATAGGGCGGGAGGGCAGGGTTAATACTTGCTAACCTAAGGCCGATTTGGGTAATTGGCACCCTCTAAGAAAAGAGGTGGGCAGGGCTAGTTCCTGCTAAGATAACAGTAATTTTGTGAAATAAGAAGAGAGGGCGGGTGGGTGGGATTAGCACTTGTTAAGATAAGACTGATTTTAGCAAATGACTTATCCTCTAACAAATATGATTAAATTTTTATAAGAAAAAACACTAGTGGCCCCAAAGCACTTTCAAATTTTTTCCAAATAGAAATACCTGAAACCTCAAGATTGCTTTAAATTTTTCGAAGAAACGGGGTCCCAAAATTGATTCAAAGACACGTCAGGTCACAATTTTCGAAAAATAGAACACCAAAGTCCGTTAAAATTGCTATAAATAATTTTCAGAAAAAGTATCCATAGGCTTACAGAATAATGCACCAGGGGTACCCAAGAGTGTCCCGAATTAAAAAAAAAACACTGCACGACTCAAGACTTTTTCAAATTCGTAAAAAAAACACTCAAAAGATTTTTTCAAGTTCATACCGCAACAAAATATCAGGTTCCTTTAAATTTATCCGAAACTAAAACACCAGGGAACCTAAAATTAACTGTAACACCTACTAGCCTCGCCCACCCGCCCTCTATTTTCTTAGAAGGTATCTCATTAGCCAAAATTAGTCTTATCTTAGCAGATATTGCCACGCCCAACCACCCTCCCGCTCCTTTCTAAGTGGATATATCATTTGTTAATATCGATCTTATTTTAGCAGATATTAATCCCGCCCACCCGCCTTCATGTTTTAGAGGGATCTCATTTACCAAAATCAGTCTTATTCTAGCAGGTATTACGCCCCTCGTCCATCCTCACTTTTCATAGAATGTATCTCATTATCCAAAATTAGTCTTATTTTAACAGCTACGAACCCCCCCCACCCACCCTCCATTTTCTTAGAGGATACGTCATATGCCAAAATCATTTTTATTTTAGCAGCTACTAGCAGGCTAAGACTAATTTTGTCAAATAACATACCCTCTAAGAAAACAAAGGGTGGGTGGGCGGGGCAAGTATCTGCTAGGATAAGACTGATTTTGGCAAATGCGATCCCTCTATGAAAATAGAGCACCTGTTAAGATAAGATTGATTTTAGCAAATGATGTAAGTATCCACTAAAAAATTTAATTAAATTATGATAAGAAAAGACACTGGAGGCTTTTCAAGTTCTTTCCAAACAGGAATACCTGGAACCTCAAGATATTTTTAAATTTTTCAAAAAAAAACGGGATCGCAAAATTGACTCAAAAACAGGTCAGGTCTGAATTTTCCAAAACTAGAACACCAAGTTCCCAAAATTTTTTTAAATAATTTACAAAAAAAATCGTCACAGGCTTCCAAAATAATATACAATGCGTACCCAAACACTGCGGCATTCAAAACTTTTTCAAATTCGTAAAAACAAAACACTAAAAGCTCGAAAAAATGTTTCAAGTTCATCCAGCTATAAAACACCAGATTCCTTTAAATTTATCCGAAAATAAAACACCAGGGACCTAAAATTAACTGCGAACATTATTTTAAACGTAGGGTTTAGGAAATTTTGACAATTTTTGTTACGTCAAACATTTTTACTGCTTACTCGATTTTTGCTAATTTGTAATTTCGCTTTATATCAGGCAAACATTGTTGTCAAATGGAATTCATAAAATTATTAGAAAAACAGCACAACCATATCTTTGTACAATCTAACTGAAATGGTAATTAAATATGGTCAATTGGTCATGAGCGATAAAAATATTAATTTTACTATTTTTCCCAGACTCACTAGTTGATTGTTAAGAGCGAAGCTAAGAATTAATCCGCGATTTTCCAGACGCTCGGTATATTTTTGTCCATTGATGGATTTGCGTATAATTAGAAAACGTAATCGATGAAGGTCAACTTTTATAATTTGACTCTGAAATCTCATAAGCCATAAGATTAATATATTTATCCAAATTCTGTCTTAAATTTCATTCTTCGGCGTAATGTGCCAGTAGGTTAACACAAATAAACCGATTAAAAATATTGTTTTATTATCGTACAGCGTTCACAAAGTGTAAGTACAAATCTATCAATCAAAGAGCTCAGCAACGGGAACTTTTTCCAGAAAAGTGTTCAAGATCACACTAAACAATGGAGGGAACATCGCTTCATCAAAATGTTTAAAAAGAGCAAATATTGGCTCCCATTTCGCATCCATAGCATTATTAAACTCTGCATTCAGAACTTTATTGGAAAACAACTGTTTATAGTCACATTTAAGGCTTTGTGTTTGCGTATCGAGTTTGGAATCGATCACCCTAAAGTGAGTGATACCTTTCTCGTACTCTTCGAGTTCAAAACTAAACGTGAACGTTGGAACGACTAAAAAATGTTTTTTAAGACTGTTATAATGTGCACAGTATACCTACCGAACGTGAATTCTACAGGTGTTTGAACGTTTACGGGTAGAAGAACAAGAGTACCTTGCATCTCGCAATCAGCTAAGTAAGTAAGTTGATAATAAGACGCTTCTATTGTCAAAGTACTAGTCAAAGGACCAAAATCTATCCTGATTAATAAAATATATACTTATAAAACAACGTAAAATATATAGTAATATAGGTACTTAGCGTTTATATTCTTCGGTTTCGAGAGCCCGATCAACTTAAACTGATCATATTTCTGTAGCAGCCCGTAAGTACGGTTTCCAAAAATGATAGTTTCGGAAGGTGTAAAGTCGTACAAACTTGGTAAACCATACGACGGTAACGGTTTATCCAGGATTTCCAGAGCACCATGAATAGCGTCACTTAAGCACTGGTTAAAATCGGTTCTTTTCCTATCACATTTTTTGAAACTGGAAGCTTGGTCATTTTTTTACATAGTTTGAAACTTTGTTTTTGTCCGAAACTACTTACGAAGTTTGAGACAGCTATCAAAAGCCACCACGCTTAATAAACAAAGCGCCACTCTGTTCATTTTACGTCTAATCAATTTAGAATTTTGGCGGCTTAAATATATCCTCAGACATCGAAAAAAGTAATGGGTCAACAATTTGAAACCTGCTTGACACTTACAAGGTAACCCAGCGAGCATTTTTGTTTGTTTACTTAACTGAAAGTTTTATTTTCAGTGACCTTATAAATTATCTACCGAATAAAATGGTGGATGCGCCGGGCCAGTGCGATGTTAAACTTGTCTAAGTTAAAAATTAAATGAAGTTATGTTTTGGACAACATCATTTAAAAATAGCACAATCTCTACACTAAAGAAGTAGTTATGTAAATGTTCACTTATTATTATGTATATATGTTGTTATGTAATATAGGTGAAGACAAATAAAACAACTACGTACAAGATTTTATTATTCTAGACTGCAAATTATGCAAATGTAGCAATGTTTAAACAAAACCTCTCAATCAAAAAGTTCAGCAACACAAACTTTTTTCAGTAAAGTGTTAAAGATTGAACCAAACCGTGGAGCGAAAATCTCTTCAAAGCTTTTAAAAATAGCAAAAACTGATCGCCATTTTGCACTCATAGCAGAATTGAACTTTTCGTTCAGAACCTTGTCGGAAAAGGGTTGTTCGAAGCCGAATTTAATGCCCTCTACTTGCATGTCTAGTTTGGAATCGATTACTCGAAAGTAAGTAGTACCTTTTTCGTACTCTTCCAGTTCAAATGTAAAAGTGAAAGTTGGGTGATCTAAAAGACCAATTTTTGTAGCAATGATAATAAATGTGTGCCTAGAATACCTACCCAAAATGTTTGCGACAGGTGTTATGACATTCACGGGTAGAAGAACAATGGTACCTTTAGCTTCACACTCAATTTCTAGCGTAAGCTGAGGATAAGTGGCTGCTATAGTCAAAGTACTAGTCAAAGGACCGAAATCTAATCTGTGTAAGAAAATAAATACTTAAAACGTAAAATCAAAGTTAAAATAGTACTTAGCGTCTATATTCTCTGGTTGCGATAGACCGATTAACCTAAATTGATCATATTTCTGCAGCAGCCCGTAGGTACGATTTCCAAATATAGCCACGAGGTCTGGAAATTCGACATCGAACAAACTTGGTAAACCATGAGAAGGCAAAGGTTTCTCTAAAATTCTAAGGGCACCATAGATAGCTTCACTTAAACACTGGTTGAAATTGGTTCTCTTTTGATCACATTTTTTGAAACTGGAAGCTTAATTATTTGGTTACACAAAACCAAAGTTTGTTTTTCTCCGAAACTACTTACGAAGTTTAAGGCAGCTACCAAGAGCCACTACGATTAATTAACAAAACACAAAACTGTTCATTTTGGGTGTCGGAATCTATGTAATAAATTTAGAAACTTTAACGGTTTAAATATATCTTCAGACATCGAAAAAATAATAGATCAACAATTTCAAACCTGCTTGATGCAAGGTAATCCGGCGAGCATTAGTGTTTGCATAACTGCCAATTTTAGTTATTCTAAAGTTTGATTATTATTAAAAATTATGAGGAGTGTTGATATTAATTTAGAACTTGCTCTTTTTGGAACTATGGAAAGTTTATTTCCAAAATAAACAAACACGTATAAAGTTAATGTTATACAAAACGTCACCAACTATTCTTCATTTTGGGAAGTTTAATTTTATATTCACATCTTTAATATTGGCAAGGGGTATTAATTAAACATAATTTTGAAAAATATTTCATTATGTTGATAAATTCTCATCATTATTGACAGTTCAACTACAATTATTACAAATTATTAATTATGCAGAAATAGTTCATGTTATTTTATTAAGTAGATTTATTTGATTTTTAATCTTCGAAGCGCAGTTTCAAACCTTCTATTTTTTAGGACAACAACCATAACAACCAGTAGTCATTAATCGTTGTGCATTATTATTAATAAAACGAACTGAAATTTTTCATTAATAAATAAACCAAAAAAAAAAACATTTTAGAAGACATTTATAAATTATAAATAAAAACAAAACCAACAAAAGAAAAATCCATTTAAAGCATGATCAACTAAACACTAGAGAAGATGTTCAAAATTCCTGCCTTGTGCTTATAAGTAAGTTAATAATGTTCCCGAATTTTGATCATTTTTTGTAAAAGTTAGTCATCACTACTTGCTAAGATAAGACTGATTTTGGCGAATGAGATATCCCTGAAGAAAAGAGAGGGTGGGTGGGCGGGGCTAGTACCTGCTTCGATAAGACTGATTTTGGCAAATGCAATGAAAAAAATGATTTCATTAATATGAATAAGATATTTTTGATGGTTTAGGATGTTCCCCTGATAAATATAATATTCAGTTAAAAAATGATGCGGTTCCTAAAGCTAATTCTGCAAGAAAAGTTCCTGTAGCAATTAGAGATCGTTTAGAAAAAGTTTAAATATACTTGTTGAAAAGGACATTATTAGCAAAATAAATAATGAAACATCTGAATGAGTCCACAACATAGTTGTTGTTGAAAAGCCAGAAAAATCATTACGAATTTGTTTGGATCCTAAAGTTCCAAATGAATTTATACTGGCAGACTTTTATGAAATTCCTACTCTGACATTAAACCAAAATTAGCTCATAAAAAATTCTTTCCTCGTCTAGGTCTCAAAAATGGATTTTGGCATGTGGGACTGACAGAAGAATTTTCTATATTATGTACATTTAGCATACCTTAACATAAAATTTAATCCCGAAAAATTGAAATATTGAACAAATGAAGTTAAATATCTGGGCTTTATATTTAATAAGATAGGTGTAACAGTTGATCCCAGTGAAACAGGTGTCATAAAAAATTTTAAAAACCCTACTAACAAAAACAATTACGAAGAATTTTGGGATTAATAATTTAGGATTATTAAATTAGCTTCTTTAATAGGACCATTAAGAGACTTGTTAAAAAAAGATATGTTGATTTTTGCTCGAAACATCTAGATTTTTGAAGAAAAAATTAAAAATATAGGATACAATTTTGCAACCGAATCCTCTAAAATTTTGCAAACGTTTTAAGGTTATCATATGCATCGTAAATCGTTTACCGTCTCCCAAAAAATGACGTTTCTCAAGAACGGCTCAAAATATTTTGCTGAAAATTTTATAAATTTGGACCAATTTTTTTTTAAAGCTCTTTCTTTAAAGTTTAGTTTCAGAAATGTTCAAGAAAGTGTTTTAGCGAAATTGTTTGGGATCATTTATAATAACAATTTTGTACCTTTTTGGGAAACTCACCCTTAGAATACGAGCGTAGTGAGCACATTCAGAGTCTTCTCATCATTAGTAATAGCAATTATTTTCTAGATACACTTTTTTGTAAGCGATAAATATATTTGTTTATAATTTAGCTTCTCTGGGACAACAGTGAATTATTTTTAATAACACTTTCACACTCTCGCTGCGTTCACATACTAAGCGATTTCTTTTTGCAGTTTAGTCTAATGATAAATACATATAAATGATAAATTACTGAAATGATACTAAATTCGACTTAAAGAAATGAAGACGGCTCCTAATGCAATGGTAGAAGTGTCAGTTTTTAAAATAAAAGTGTTATTTTCTGCAAAATTTGGATACTCTAAAACTGGTGGTTTTACTAAATCATTTTTCAATGTGTCAAAATAGTTTTGATATTCCACGCTCCAACTAAATTGCACATTTTTCTTGTTTAGTCGATTTATTAGCGCTGCTATGTTAACAAAATTTTGTAAAGTTTTTTCTCTTCTTCGTTCCCTATTTTTTTCAAAACAATACTATGATGCTTCAAAACATATTTCACTCAGTAATTTCTTGTACAGAAATATGGACTTTGCGGTTAAGCTTTACCCCTCGATCTCATGACGATTAAAAAAATTCTTTACAAATGAGACGGGGCGGGTGGGTGGGGCTTTAAGGTCCATTTCAATAATAAAATACTTAAAATATATATCAAAATCGAGGTTAGAATTATGTTTTGAGTACTTATTATGTTATTGAAAGCAAACTCTATACAGTATAAGAAAAAAGCCAATGATTAAGCCCCGCCCACCCACCCCTGTCTCAATTGTGATGAATTTTTCATTTATTGTCACTTAACGGAGCTTAATTACAAAATTTAGAAAATATTTTCCATTTTCAAGATGTTTCAGGTTTCTTGTTGCGAAAAGATGACTATACGTATATTCAGGAAAACATTGGTCGAAAGTTGGTTCGACAGAACTTCCCTGGCGGCTAAAGTACAATGAAACATCCAGCATTTTCCAGCTGAGTTGGATTAGTGCAGTGCAATACTAAAAATAACATATTGTATCCGAAAATTTTCTGGAAAAATGGAGTGAGCAGTTCCTGATTTAATCAATAAAATACGTGTAAATTCATTAATTCTTTTGAGCCACCTGTTTAAATAAGTCTAAAAAGTATGAATGGAATGGAATTATAAGTAAAAACTCGTCATATTTTGCACATTTTCGGTAGAATATATTCGACCAAATTTTGAAATGACGTCGTCATTTTTGAGGGAATAAACAGATATATTTTGATCAACAACTTACCATGTCTAAATGCAAAAGCAACAGTATATTGACCAGAAATAAAGAGTAACATAGAAAACATGATTATGTCGTACATGTTTTGTACCAGATTCAGTGCAGCTAATGTTAAAGAACCATTATTGAAGCATGAAACACCAGAATATCCATTTCAAAAAGTTGGTAGAAATATTAAAAGACAAGCCAAGTAATTCAGTATATTATATCAATTTTAAAAATAATTTTTAGGAAATATGGAATTCCAGAAGTAATAATGTCAGATAATATGCCATTTAACAGTTTTATTTATAAATAATTTGCAAATAAGTGGCACTTTACTATTGCAACGTTTAGCCCTCATCATAGCCAAAGTAACAATTTAGCGGAGAAAGGAGTTGGAATTGCTAAGAAAATGCTAAAAAATGTCTTTTTCTTCAAGGAGATTATAATTTATTTTTACTGCACTGCAGAACAACTCCACTGGCAGATTTAGGAATCTCACCATCACAATTACTTATGTTTAGAATATTATGGTCAAAGTTACCAACTAAAAGACAGTTATTATATCCAAAAGTACAAGATATTAATAACACCATGAGAAAAAATAAAATAAAGCAGGCAACGTACTATGATAAATATGCAAAAAATAATATAACTAAATTTAAGGAAGGAGAAAGTATATATATTTGGAATTTTTCTAAAATGATATGGATAAAAGGAAAGAAACAAACTGAAATTTCCAAGATCTTATTTAGTCAAAAATCTAGAAGACAATTCATTACTTTGTAGAAATTCTAAATACGAGTATTTAAAAAAAAGATTAGTTGATTTTGAATTTGACTCAATTATAAACACAAGTACAATAATACAAACACCTACTAAAACACTATATATTACACAAAGTGGAAAACTGAAAATTCTAGTCATCAAAAAGCTCAGCAACTGGCACTTTCTCAAGAAAATCGTTAAAAATAATACCAAATAAAGGTGCATATATCGTCTCCCAATTTTTAAAGGGCGCAAATAACTCATGTCCTTTTTCAGCCATTGCAGAACTGAACTCATAACCCAGACGCGAATTATAAAATATACCTTCAAAGTCAAATTTCCAATCTCGTACTTGCATATCGATTCCAGAAGCGACCACTCTAAAATAAGTGGCACCTTTTTCGAATTCTTCAAGTTCAAAAGTGAAAGTAAAAATCGAATTATCTATAAGTAGTACTTTAGCAACAACTTCGCAAACCAGCGGAAGTACCCACCCAAGATCATTTCAATCGGCGTTACAACATTTATTGGTAGAAGAACAACAGTACCTTGAGCTTCCAACGCACACTTAAAGTTGAGTTTGGAATAACTAGCTTCTATTGTTACAATAGTACTTAGAGGTCCAAAGTACATTCTGAATTTAAAACGAGTTATATTGTATTAGTCAAAATAAGGAAGTGGTACCTTGTAGCTATTTCTTGTGGTTCTGACAATGCAATAAACCTCAATTTGGAGAATTTTTGTTTCAACCCATAGGTACTATTACCAAATTCGGCTTTAACATCAGGTGGATATTCTATATCCTACAAATTTGGGACTTTAGCGGTTTATTCAGTGATGTAACGGCACCATAAATCGCTTTGCTCCAACAACGGTTAAAATCGACTCTTCTTCTATCACATTTTTTGAAACCTGACGCTTTAAATCTACTTAGAAAGAAACACTTTGTTTTCAGAAAATACTTACGAAGTTTCAAACAATGCGAAAATGCAGGCAAACTTATTAAACAAAGCGTTAAAACATTCATGCTTCGTACTAAAATTCATTTAAGATGCTCAAGTAGTTATATATGGAGTCTAAACCAGTTGTTTGTAAATTATTCCACAGAAATGAGAGTCGTACTATTAAGAAAGCAATTATGTAAATCTTCTCTTCCATATAAATACACATATCTTTATTAAAACGACAAAACAAACGGTATCAAACTGTGACGAAAAAATTAGTTGGCTTCCAAGATAAGTTCAGAACATGTAGCTTATATTGTTAGAGTAGTACTTAGGGCACCTTTGACAGACTAATAAAGCTAAATTTACCATACCTACTTTTGTTTCAACCCATTGGTAGGATTTCCAAATTATGCTACAACACTTTCTGGGGCCTCAAGATCATACAGACTTGGTAGGTCATGTGATTTTACAAGTTCCTCCAGTAGTTTAATCGCACCATAAATGGATTCACTCAAACACTGAGTTTTTGTCACATTTTCTGAAATTACGGGCTTCAGCATTTAGTTATAAATTTTACAATTTTCATCAACCGACACTACTAACGTTATCAAACAAACTGTTGAACACTTAATTTTCTGTTGAGGAATGTACTCAATAGTTTCACAGTCTCTGAGTATTTAAATATACACGAAGTGACAAAAAATATTAAATTCTAAACCTGCTTGATGCAAGGTTATCACCATCAGACTAACATTATAATTCTGTTTTTGTGTGAATATTATTATTAACCTAAATTCTAATCTTGAGTGGAAACTAAATTGCCAAATTTTTATTTTAATAGCATGAAAGTAAATACAAAATTAATAATTATTAGGAAACCAAATTTTTCTTTGTCGTATCTTAACAGGAAAATGCAGCCTAAACCAGTCTGTAAATGAAAAAATTAATACAAACTATAACAGTAATAAAAAATTTAGTACCCGAAATTTCAGATTTCGAACATTCATATTTACTCAGGACTGTAATTTCCGAAAAGGTGTTTTCATTTCGTAAAGAGTTGGAACGAAATTCGGTCCTAAATAAAAATAAAACGGTAAAAGAAATTATAAATAAATTTACCGTACCTATAATAATTAATTTCCGTTGCAGCAAATTCGTTTAAAATACATGATGAAATTTCCGCTAGCTCTGACACTTCGTACATTTTTTGCGAAATATAAACAACTTCGTTCAAACCCTCATCAAAATAGTGTACTTCTCGCTCATATTTTTTGTAGCTGGAACCTTCACCAAAATAAGTTTTTAAATAATTATGTATTTTTCTAATGACACTCACAATCACAAACACTTAATAAAACAGCCAGAAATAACACTAAAGCGATCATATTGTTTTCAGGAATTACTAAATCCGAATCCTTTCCTTTTATACCTCTATACATAAATACAAAAAGAGCTTTGGTGCAAAACTCGAAACCTGTTTGAAAGAGCATCACTGACCTTAATTAATAATCATAACCAGACTGGACCTTAACTAGTGTAAATATAGTAACCATTAAGATAAACAGACCCATTAATCAGCGGCTTGTATATTGTTATTGCAATGTGTAGACAAATTAATTATATAAATGACACGAGTTTGCAATTTTGGGCAATTTGGGGCAGCTGCATTGCTTTTTTCACTGTCTGGTTGCGGTTCTATAATTAGAACGAATGAAGCTATCTCCATTTATTGGTTATTGTACCGTTCTTGTTTTGTTGAAGTGAGTTATGAATCGGACTAACGAAGGAAAGGATATTATTTTTTATTTTTTTAAAGCAATTTTAATGATTCATTTAAATGATAGGCAATGTAGAGTGTTATATAGGGTGTTCCTTCTGAATTATTGAAAATATTTTTTGACTTAGACAAGGTATTTAATTTAACAGTTGGTTTTTGTTTCGTAACACCCTATATACTTCTACAGATTTAAGTTCTTCACCTGTATATTAAAAAATGATCATATATAAAAATTCTCAACACTGCCATATGTAAATATGGAGGTATGTAATTTCACAAATTTTTTTAGTTAATTGTGCCATTTAAAAACACTGACAATTTTTAAATTTAATCACCCTGTATAAATTGGTTTGAACTTTTTTATTCTTAAAGATAAATCTATAGTTTTTTGGCCAAATTGGTATCATTTTAAAAGATCTATGTGAAGTCAACCTCACATTTTTATTATCACTTCCGGTAGAAACGGAAATAATAATAATAATAATAATAATATGTATTTAATGTCGAAAAAGATACAAAATCCATAAGACGACATATCGAAAATAGAACTAAACATGTGCAAACTAATTACAAAAAAAAAGAAGAAATACATAAAAACTAAAAATAATTAATCCATACAACTTAAAGATTTTTCAGGTAGCTGTTTAAAGAAGATAAAGTTACGTTAAAAAAGTCCAGATTATTTGAAATTTTGTTTATAGATCTAACTATATTATCCATAGGTGCATGAAACGTAAAATTAGTACGATGAAATCTAGGTATAAAAGTTTCAGAGCAACGAGAACCTAATCTAGGTACTCTAATATCAAACAACATAACTAGGCCAGGGCAGTCAATGCAATTCTGGAACAACTTATAACCCAAACGAATTTCAGCTTTTTGTTTTCTACTCTCCAGTAGTTCCAGGTTTACAAGTACAAGCCTTTGGTCATAGCTATAATTATCCTTATTTATTCCCATTTTAAAAAGTAGATAATTGACAAACTTACGTTGTACTCTTTCAAGACGATCAACGTGGGTTTTATAAAATGGGAACCAAATAACAAAACAATATTCAAGAATCGGTCTAACTAAAGTTACAAACAATTTGTGTAGACAACTAATATCCCAAAAATCAATAGACTGACGTTTGATAAAGCCACAAGTTCGAAATGACTTATTCAGAACAAAATCAAAATGACTAGCAAATCGTAGCTCTGAATCTAAGATTACACCCAAGTCGTTGATTTCAGAAACGCGTTCGAGAGTAACATTATTCAAAGTATATGGAAACACAATACAGTTAGATCTACGGGTAAATGTTATAACCTTACATTTATCAGTGTTTACTCCCATAGAGTTGTTAACGCACCAAGAACTAATGATTTCAAGTTTATTTTGAAGTAAATGACAGTCGTTAATACTAGAAATTCTACCAAAAATTTTTAAGTCATCTGCAAACAATAAGAAATCATCGAGTAGACAAGCCAAATCGTTAACAAATAAGGAAAACAAAACAGGTCCAAGATGGCTGCCCTGTGGAACACCTGACGTCACAATAATTGGATCAGAATAATGGTTCCCTAACTGAACTATTTGAGACCTCTGTTTTAAGTAAGATTCGATCCACTGGTAAAGATTACCGGCCAAGCCGTATTGTTTTAATTTATAAAGTAGAATATCGTGGTCAACTCGATCGAAAGCCTTGCTAAAATCAGTGTATATTGTATCGACTTGGTAACTCTCCTCTAATGCTGTGTAAGTAAAGTTAGTAAAGGAACTTAAATTAGTTACAGTACTACGTCCAGGATAGAAACCGTGTTGCTGAGATGAAATAATTGTTTTAAATGAAACGAAAATGTTCTCAGTTATTATAGTTTCAAGTAGCTTACATAGGGCTGGTATAACACAAATTGGGCGGTAATTAGTTACGTCCGATCTAGAACCCTTTTTATGTAAAGGGATGACGTACGATAGCTTCCAGATTTCAGGACAAAGACCAGATTTTAAGCACTTGGAGTAAACTATACTTAGTGGCCATGATAGACTATAGCTGCATTGCTTTAAGATATGAGCAGGAATCCCATCTGGTCCTGGGTTGAAGCTGTCCTTTAAGCGTGTCAGTTTAGTAGCAACAATTTCAGAAGTAATTTCAATATTACACATTGTTCCAGAATTATTAATAAACTGTTGTGAATCAAAGTTGAAGGGAGAAAACGGTGCATTACTTGTATTATAGACGGAGCTAAAAAACTGCCGTCAACTAAACTAAACTGATACAAATTTGCTTAAAGAATTATATGTTTATCTTTAAAAATAAAAAAGTAACAGGGGTTGTATCAAATAAAAGAAATACGTGCTATTATAGAGAAGTATTAAGTTAAAATAAATTTTACTAAAAATGGTGGAGGCGCCGGGTTAGCCAACTAATCTAAAAATTTTTGATCACCTGTTATAAAAATACAAAATTGTGTAAAATGAAATGATCTTTCAATTAATACTCGTAATTAAAAAAAAAGTGAATTGAAGTTCCCTCATTCATCGAAAACGTAGAACCAGAAACCAATTATAACTACATAATATCATGAAAGGTTTGAGTACTTAGGTTTTGACATTAATACCAAGCAGTCCAATTCAAAATTTTTATTATCGATTTTATGTTTTTGAGTTAACACAAACAGAGAGAACATCTATTCCACAAAAAGTTCAGCAACTGGTACTTTCTCGAGAAAACTGTTGAAGATGGAAGTGACATGTGGTGCAAATATCCCTTGTAAATGTTTAAAAATTCCAAGAATTTGCAACCCCTTCTCGTTCATTGCAGAGTTAAATTCATGATTAAGCCGTCTGTTTTGGAACAAACGCTTAAAATCGTATTTTATGCCGTCTGCTCTGTTCATATCTAATTCAGATTCGACCGCTTTAAAATAGACGGCACCTTTGTAGTATTCTTCCAGTTTAATTGTAAAAATAAACGTTGGATTATCTAAAACACGAGTAATAATGTTGATAATTCCAGATAATTAATACCCACCCATGATAAGTTCCACAGGTGTTATAACGTTTAAAGGTAGAAGTACCGCGGTACCGTGACCTTCGTACTGACATTCCCATGTAAGTTCAGGGTAAGAAGCCTCTATTGTTAACGTACTAATCAGAGGTCCAAACTCTAACCTGTTTACAATATCAAATAAAATTGATAAATATAATAACAGAAGAATAGTACCTGGTTTTCACATTTTGGGGCTTTGAAAGACCAATCAGCCTGTAGTTAGAAATTTTCTGCAATAATCCATACGTACTGTTCCCTATTTCTAAGAAAGCATCTGATGGAAATTCAACATCGTGCAAACTCGGTAAGCCATGCGATTTCAAAGGTTTGTCAAGGATTCTAAGAGTGTCATAAACAACACCACTTAAACAATCGTTGAAATCACTGCGTCTTTTATCGCATTTTTTAAAACTAGAAGCTTTAAGATTTATTAAAGAAGGTGTCAATTTAGGAGTCGAAACACTTACGAAATTGCAAACAATTGCAAAAGGTGGCCAAAGTTACTACACAAGTAAGGAGGCTGTTCATTTTGTGGTAGAACTACACCTACTAAAAATTCCGTTCTTCTGTGCTTAAATTTATATGAGGAAGACAAAAATAAGAGCACAAAAATTTAAAACCTGATTCTTGCAAGATAATGAAATTAACATTAATTAGTTACGTAATGTAGTCTACAGTAACATGTTAGGTGAAGAATAGGCTACATGGTACATTTAACCAAAAGAATGCAGAAACTTTATTATGAATTTATTTTCATATCAACAAAAATACATTTAACATTGTTGCAGGTTTCTATTCATCAAAAAGTTCAGCAACTGGGATTTTCTCCAGGAAACTCTTGAATATAGTACCAAAATATGGTGTCAATTTTACTTGTAAATGTTTGAAAATATGAAAAGTTTGCAACCCCTTTTCAGACAGTGCGGAATTAAATTCATCATTAAGACGTCTGTTGGTGAATAACTGTTGAAAGTTAATTGTAGTGCGATCTATTTCCTTCATATCAAATTCGAAATCAATCACTCTAAAATAGGTAGCACCTTTGTTGTATTCTTCCAATTTAACCATAAAAGTAAACGTTGGATTGTCTAAAACATTCACATGTTTTTATCTCGATAATTTTAGATAATCAATACCCACACAAAACACATTCTACGGGTGTTATAACGTTTAAAGGCAAAAGAACCATAGTACCTTGACCTTCGTACTCATAATCCCATGCAAGTTTAGAGTAAGAAAGTTCCATTGTCAAAGTACTAAAGACGGGTCCAAAATCTAACCTATTTACGTTGTTAAATAAAAGTACCAACCACAATAATTGTAGAATAATACCTGGTTTTTATATCTTCAGGTTGGGAAAGACCAGCCAACCTGAATTTAGAAAACTTTTGAGCTAACCCATACGTCCGATTCCCTATTTCTATGACAGCTTCAGGTGGAAATTCAACATAACGCAGACTCGGAAAACCGTGAGATTTCAGAGGTTTGTCGAATACTTTAAGGGTGTTGTAGACAACGTCGCTTAAGCAGTTGTTGAAATCGCTTCTTCTTTTATCGCATTTTTTGAAACTAGAAGCTTTAATATTTGTTAATGAATGGTGTTAATTTGGTGGTCAAAGTACACTTACGAAGTTGCAAACAATGGCAAAAAGTCGCCAAAGTTAGTCCATAAACAAGTAAGTTGTTCATTGTGTGGTAGATACACTTACTAAAAATACTCTTTTGGTCTGCTTAAATATATGGAGGAATCAGAAAATAATAGCACAAAAATTGGAAACCGGCTTATTGCAAGGTAACAATAGTACCATTATCATATTAAAATATGTCGGTTACGTAAATGTTGTCTAGAATAACAGGTCAATCGTCAATATGTTAATGACATATTTTGGTATTCGGGAAAACAAAACAACAGAAGAAGTTCAAATGCATAAACTTTATTTTGAATTTGTTAACAAATTAAAGCAAATATTTCTATTCATCAAAAAGTTCAACAACCGGTACTTTTTCCAGGAAATTATTGAAAACAGAACCAAAATGTGGTGCAAATGCCACTTGTAAATGTTTAAAAAGTTCAAAAGTTTGCAACCCTTTTTCAGAGAGTGCGGAATTAAATTCATCGTTGAGACGTCTGTTAGGGAATAACTGCTTAAACTCGATTTTCAAGCGGTCCGCGCTCTTCATATCGAATTCAGAATCAATCACCCTAAAATAGGTGGCACCTTTCTCGTATTCCTCCAATTTAATTGTAAAACTAAGGGTTGGATTATCTAAAATTTTCACATATATTGATCTTGATAATTCTAAATAAATAATACCCACACATGATTAGTTCTCCAGGTGTTATAACATTTAAAGGGAGAAGAACCACAGTACCTTGAGCTTCAAGCTCAGATTCCCACGTAAGTTCAGAGTAAGAAGCCTCTATTGTTAATGTACTAGTTACAGGCCCAAAATCTAACCTATTTATACGTTATATATAAAAATACTAAACACAATAGTACAACAATACCTGGTTTTTATACTTTGAGGATTAGAAAGACCAGTCACCCGAAATTTAGTATACTTTTGCCATAATCCATACGTGCGATTCCCTATTTCCATCATAGCGTCTGGTGGAAATTCAATACAACGCAAACTTGGAAATCCAGGCAGAGGTTTGTCGAGTACTTTAAGACTGTCGTAGACAACATCACTTAAACATTCATTGAAATCGTTTCGTCTCTTGTCGCATTTTTTGAAACTGGAAGCTTCAAGATTTATTTACAAAAACTATCAACTTGGTTGTCAAATTCCACTTACGAAATTGCAAACAATTACAAAGGGACACCAAAGTTACTACACAAAGTGGTACGTTGTTCATTTTTATGGCAAAAGTTCACTTAACACAATTTCGAGCTTTCTGTGGTTATATAGTCGAAAACGACAACAAAAAATTGAACAACAATTGAAAACCTGTTTTATCCAAGGTAATTAAAACGGAAATTATACTAAAATAGGTTTGTTACGTAAATCTAGTCTACAACAATAAAGACAGGTTAATCACCAATTAATGTTTAATTTATTTAAAGGTTAGGTCAGGAATATGTATAAATCTTGATTATGATAATTTTGTGATGAATATAAAGAATTAAACCAATTATGGATATCTTTATTCAACAAAAAGTGCAGCAGCTGGTACCTTCTCCAGGAAACTACTAAACAGAGAACCAAAATGTGGCGCAAAATGGGCTTGCAGAGGTTTGTGAATGTGGAAAATGTGTAATCCCTTTTCGTTCATCGCGGAATTAAATTCATCGTTAAGACGTTTGTTGGAGAATAATTACTTAAAGTCAAACCTGAAGGCCTCCGTCTGTACATTTAAATTAGAGTCGATCACTCTAAAATAGGTATCACCTTTTTCGTATCCTTCGAGTTTAATTGTCAATGTCAAGATTGGATTATCTAAAACTTGGTCACGTGAAAATCATGATTGCTGTAACTGGGTACTACCTGTTATAAAATCCACAGGGGTCACAACATTTAAAGGTAAAAGAACAATAGTACCTTGAGCTTCATATTCCATCTGTAATATCAGTTGTGGGAAAAAAGCTTCAACTGTTAAGGTACTAAGTACAGGCCCGAAGTCTAACCTGTTTTTCAGAGTGTAAATGGCTGTTACACTCTCGGGTTTAGTAAGACCAACAATTCTGAATCTGTTATACTTTTGTAATAATCCATACGTACGATTCCCTATTTCAATAACCACATCTGGTGAAAATTCAAGATGATACAAATTTGGTTAACCATGCGACTGTTGAGGTTTGTCGAATAGTTTAAGACTATTATAAATAACCTCACTTAAAACTGGTTGAAATCGCTTCGTCTCTTATCGCATTTTTTGAAACTAGAAGCTTCCAAATTTATTCACATAAGTTGTTAGCTTAATTGGCAAAATGTACTTACGACATTGCACACGGTTACTTAAAGTCGCCAATGTTACTACACAACGCACCAAACTATTCATTTTCGTGATAAAAATTCACTTAATAAAATTTCAAATAATTTGTTGTTATATATAGAAAGACAACAAGAATAAAACGAGCACAATTGAAAACCTGCCGCTTGCAAGGTAATTAAATGATATTATCATACCAGAATAGACACGTTACGTAAATCTTGTCTCCACGAGTTATAATAATAATCAATAAATAATATTAACTAAAGCAATCCAAAACCTTTTTTTTATTTTTAGATATTAAATATAGCATAGTTCAAATTAACAATTAATATGCTGTGTTTGAAACAAACGTCTAATCTACAAAAAGTTCAGCGACTGGTACTTTTTCGAAGAAACTATTAAAAATAGACCCAAAATGTGGTGCCATATACCAATGCAGCGGTTTATATATGCTGAAAATTTGGACTCCTTTTTCATTTATTGCGGAATTAAATTCATCATTAAGGAGTTTGTCGGAGAACAACTGCTTAAAACGAGGCGTAAAGTCGTCTGTTTGCATACCGAAATCAGAATGAATCACTTTAAAGTAGGTAGCACCTTTTTCATATTCTTCGAGTTCAATTGTGAAAGTGAACGTTGGATTACCTAAAACTTGCCCGTGTACAAATCTTGACAGTTGCAACTGGGGAGACTCACCCATTATCAAATCTAGAGATGTCTGGACGTTTAAAGGTAAAAGAACGGTGGTACCTTGAGCTTCATATTCCATCTGCCAGGTAATTTCAGCGTAAGAGGCTTCTATTGTTAGAGTACTAAATACAGGCCCAAATTCTAATCTAGCTGTTACACTTTCAGGGTTAGAAAGACCAATTGACTTGAATTTGCTAAACTTTTGCGCTAGTCCGTAGGTACTATTTCCTACTTCTATAATAACATCCGACGGAAATTCAATGTAATGCAGACTTGGTAAACCATGGGATTTCAGAGGTTTGTCGAGTGCTTTAAACCCTTCATAAACAACATCACTTAAGCACTGGTTGAAATCGTTTCGCCTCTTATCGCATTTTTTGAATCTAGAAGCTTCAACATTTGTTAATATATGTAGAGTACTAATTTGGTATTAAAATACACTTACGAAATTGCACACAGTTACAAAATGTCGCCAAAGTGACTAAACAAACTAGAAAGTTGTTCATTGTTGAGATTGAAACACACTTAACAGAATTTCAATTTTCCTGGGCTTAAATATATAGGAAAACACCAAAAAAATAATAGCCCAACAATTGGAAACCTGCTTTTGGCAAGGTAATTACTAGCATTATCATACTAAAACAGTTTGGTTATGTAAATCTTGTCTGCAGTAAAAATAGCGAAGTTGTCCATAAATTAATTGCGTTTCCCTCTTCTGCTAAATTTTTACCCTATATCCCTATAACAGGATATACTTCTGCCTATCTTTAGCTTTTTTTTCACTGTCGGGCTATAAATACGGACGATATATATGCCTACGTTATGTTTCAATGTCTGTGGTGAAAATTAAATAATTAAGAAACAATCCAAGCCCAAACTCTTTATTGTTAACTAATCCGTCCCGTCTATTCAACAAAAAGCTCAGCAGCTGGTACTTTCTCCAGGAAACTATTAACGATGGAACCAAAATGTGGTGCAAATACCACTTGTAGGTGCTTATGAATGTGGAAAGTTTGTAGTCCCTTTTCACTCAGCGCAGAATTAAATTCCTCATTAAGCCGTTTATTCGTGAATAACTGCTTAAAATGAAGCTTGAAGTCCTGTGGTTGGGCATCGAACTCCGACTCGATTACTCTAAAGTACGTAGCACCTTTGTCGTACTCTTCCAGTTTAAATGTAAAAACAAACGTCGGATTATCTGAAACTTGTCCATGTAAAAACTGTGATACCCGAAACTGGTTAACACTCACTCAATATAAAATCGACAGATGTTGCAACGTTCAAAGGCAGAAGAACAATAGTACCTTGAGCTTCGTATTCCATCTGCACGGTCACTTGAGGGTAAGTAGCTGCTATTCTTAAGGTACTAACTAGAGGGTCAAAATCTAAACTAGATAGTTACGATAATTGATAAAAAATGATAACTGCATTGACAAAAATAGTACCTGGCTGTTACACTCTCTGGTCTAGTGAGACCAATGAACCTGAATTTAGAAAACTTTTGTAATAATCCATACGTACGATTTCCTATTTCAGTAATAACATCCGGTGGAAATTCAAGATCATACAAACTTGGTAAACCAAACGACTTCTGAGGTTTGTCGAGTAGTCTAAGATTAGTGTAAATAGCATCACTTAAACACTGGTTGAAATCGCTTCGTCTCTTGTCACATTTTTTGAAACTAGAAGCTTCAACTTTTATTTACATAAGGTGTTGATTTACTTGCCAACTTGCACTTACGAAATTGCAGACAGTTGCACAAAGTCGCCAAAATTGCCACACCAATGAGTAAGCTGTTCATTTCTGCACAAGTTTGGCGTTAATGAAATTTAAATTTTTCTGTGCTTATATTTGTACGAAAACACTAGAAAAATAGAGCAATATTTGAAAACCTGTTTCCTGCAAGGTAGTAGAAGGGGTCTTATCATACTAAAATAGAATCGTTACGTAAATCTTGTCTCCAGTTACTTATTAATAATCAATAGAATATGTATTATTCTATCACCATTCTATCACCATTCACGATTTTTTTGAAGTAAACATATTACCGATTCTTGTTTTTCATCTCAACAGTTTCTAAATTCCAGAATTCCCAGAATTTCAAACACTGTAAATAACGACAGAGATAAGTGAAGAGTGGATTCTAGGGTAAATGTCTTTTCATTTACAACAACAGCACTTAAGGCTGTTGCGAGAACGTACCTATAGTGCCTAGACTTAGAGAATTGTTTCCCAGTAACCAAAATTGGTTTCAACAAGACGGTGCTCCACCTCATTTTGAACGGCAAGTGCGACAGTACTTATATGAAATTTTTCCTGTCAGATGCATAAGCCGAAAGTGAACTATTGAGTCACCAGATTTGACACCCTTTGACTTTTTTTTGTGAAGCTATTTAAGAATCGAAGAAGACCGATGTCAAAAGTGGCCCCACCCACCCACCCTTACTCCATTTTGATGACCCATTTTATTGGCTCTTAGAAGGAAGTTGGATTTTATTTTGACAAATAATAAAATCTAGGATTAGATATATAGGATTTATATAGAAATATTCAAAAATCATATAAAGAAGACACAATGAGGTACAACTGTAAACCCTCTTCTCTGGGCCAATGAAATGATTTACTAAGGTGGAGTTTCTGTGATTGGGAGGAGCATTAGTAATATTACGTTTTAAATATAATTCTCTCGCCTGGTAGCTTTATTTAACAGAAACCAAACACTTTCTGAATACTTTATTTACAATTTATCGATTTTCTCACAGTTTAACAAAATTGCCTAAGATTTTATGATATAATAATCTTGCTATTGATTAACCATATTAAGAGTAGTGGCTAAAAACACGAGGGGGTGGGTGGGTGGGGCTATTATTTGCTTATAATTCTCTGTCCTGTCACCATTTCACCAACTTATTCTCTTTACTGGAAACGGGAAATGAATTTTGATTTGACAAGAGGTAGAATCTATGATGTAAATTAATATCAAAAGTGGCCCCACCCACCCACCCCTATTCCATTTTGATAATTCATTTTATTGGCTTTGAGACGAAAGTTAGATTTTGTGTTGACTAGATTTTTTTCATATAATTTAGATTTTTATTCAAACAACGACTTCACCGTCACCGTTTACAAATAAATGTTTAATAATAATATGAAATAGGCACAATGAGATTCAATTGTAAGCCCCGGCCCAATAAAATTACTTATTAAGGTAGGGCTTAGTGGAAGAAGCATCAGTAATATTGGTATGCTGATTCAACACCAGCCAAATAATTTCTAAATAATTTATTTACATTTTATATTTTTTCTAATAAACGGATTCGCAGAATTACCCGAGATTCAATAATATAATAATGTTGTCATTAGTTAACAATGTTAAGAGCGGTCACTAGAATCAAGAGGGGGTGGTTGGGCGGCGCTAATACTTCTGCCTCCATTTCACTCAGTTATTTAAATACTCTTAAAAAGAATCGAATCTTGATTTGAATAGATGTAAAATCTATGATTTAAAGCAAAGTCAAAACCCACCCCTACTCCAGGCAAATAAGATATTCAGATGATATTGAAACACCCCAACGCATCAATTAAGGATCTAATAATTTTAAACAATTTCCAATTCATCTGCAAATAAAAAAGATTCTGAAAAAAAAAACGAGAAATTAAATCGTTAATAAATAAAACGAATAAAATAGGTCCACAATGCGAGCTTTAAGGGACACCAGTGATACAGAATAACGAGACGATAAGTAAGAATTGATTTTTACTTGTTGTGATCTGTCAACTAAGAACGAAACCAACCAATTACTCGTACCAGGAGTAAATCCCATGTTATTTAATTTATATACTAAGATTCTATGACTGACTCGGTCAAATTACCTTTGAAATAACCAGGTGGGGAACATGGTTAAATGAAGTTGTATTTTATGCAAAAACTACAATTCAAATGAAAATTTTGTTAATGAGCTGGCAGATGATACTACCTCTATTAAGAATCTAAAATAATTTTTGCTAAAACAAAACTACCATTTCAATTGGAATTTATTTCAGCTACCTTTTCCGTAGAGGCTGATGCAATTTTAAAATTTAAATACAACATAGAGCTAGTAACAAATTGTTTTCAAAAACTATCCAATGTTCAAAGTGAAATGGGCGAAAAAGTTTTCCAGAAATTTGAGTCTGTTTTTGAAAAAAATTCCACGTTTAGGTATTCGAGAAAACATAAGAACAGAAGCAGTCCAAATTCATAAACTTTCTTTCTAATTTGTTAACAAATTAAAGCAAATATTTCTATTAGTCAAAAAGTTCTGCAACTGGTACATTCTCCAAGAAACTGGTGAAAACAGAACCCAAATGTGGTGTAAATACCACTTGTAAATGTTTAAAAAGTTCAAAAGCTTGCAGTCCCTCGAGTTTCAAGCTCAGATTCCCACGTAAGTTCAGAGTCCGACAAGATTGAATTATCTAAAACTTGGTGACGTGAAAATCATGACTGCTGTAACTGAGTACTACCTGTTATAAAATCCACAGGGGTCACAACATTTAAAGGTAAAAGAACAATAGTACCTTGAGCTTCACATTCCATCTGTAATATCAGTTGTGGGAAAAAAGCTTCAACTGTTAAGGTACTAATTACAGGCCCGAAGTCTAACCTGTTTTTCAGAGTTAATAACAAATCGTAAATATACTAATTAAAATAGTACCTGGCTGTTACACTCTCGGGTTTAGTAAGACCAACAATTCTGAATCTGTTATACTTTTGTGATAATCCATACGTACGATTCCCTATTTCAATAACCACATCTGGTGGAAATTCAAGATGATACAAATTTGGTAAACCATGCGATTGTTGAGGTTTGTCGAATAGTTTAAGACTGTTATAAATAACGTCACTTAAACACTGGTTGAAATCGCTTCGTCTCTTATCGCATTTTTTGAAACTAGAAGCTTCCAAATTTATTCACATAAGTTGTTAGCTTAATTGTCAAAATGCACTTACGACATTGCACGCAGTTACTTAAAGTCGCCAATGTTACTACACAAAGCACCAAACTATTCATTTTCGTGATAAAAATTCACTTAATAAAATTTCAAATAATGTGTTGTTATATATAGGAAGACAACAATAATAAAACGAGCACAATTGAAAACCTGCTGCTTGCAAGGTAATTAAATGATATTATCATACCTGAATAGACACGTTACGTAAATCTTGTCTCCACGAGATATATTAATAATCAATAAATAATATTAACTAAAGCAATCCAAAACCTTTTTTTTATTTTCAGACATTAAAACATAACATAGTGCAAGTTAATAGTTAATATGCTGTGTTTGAAGCAAACGTCTAATCTACAAAAAGTTCAGCGACTGGTACTTTTTCGAAGAAACTATTAAAAATAGACCCAAAATGTGGTGCCATATACCGATGCAGCGGTTTATATATGCTGAAAATTTGGACTCCTTTTTCATTTATTGCGGAATTAAATTCATCATTAAGGAGTTTGTCGGAGAACAACTGCTTAAAACGAGGCGTAAAGTCGTCTGTTTGCATACCGAAATCAGAATGGATCACTTTAAAGTAGGTAGCACCTTTTTCATATTCTTCGAGTTCAATTGTGAAAGTGAACGTTGGATTACCTAAAACTTGCCCGTGAACAAATCTTGATAATTGCAATTGGGGAGACTCACCCAATATCAAATCAAGAGATGTCTGGATGTTTAAAGGTAAAAGAACGGTGGTACCTTGATCTTCATAGTCCATCTGCCAGGTAATTTCAGCGTAAGAGGCTTCTATTGTTAGAGTACTAACTACAGGCCCAAATTCTAACCTAGCTGTTACTCTTTCAGGGTTAGAAAGACCAATTGACTTGAATTTACTAAACTTTTGCGCTAGTCCGTAGGTACTATTTCCTACTTCTATAATAACATCCGACGGAAATTCAATGTAATGCAGACTTGGTAAACCATGGGATTTCAGAGGTTTGTCGAGTGCTTTAAACCCTTCATAAACAACATCACTTAAGCACTGGTTGAAATCGTTTCGCCTCTTATCGCATTTTTTGAATCTAGAAGCTTCAACATTTGTTAACATATGTAGAGTACTAATTTGGTATTAAAATACACTTACGAAATTGCATACAGTTACAAAAGGTCGCCAAAGTGACTAAACAAACCAGAAAGTTGTTCATTATTGAGACTGAAACACACTTAACAGAATTTCATTTTTCCTGGGCTTAAATATAAAGGAAAACACCAAAAAAATAATAGCCCAACAATTGCAAACCTGCTTTTGGCAAGGTAATTACTAGCATTATCATACTAAAACAGTTTGGTTATGTAAATTTTGTCTGCAGTAAAAATAGATCAGTTGTCCATAAATTAATTGCGTTTCCCTCTTCTGCTAAATTTTTACCCTATATTCCTATAACAGGATATACTTCTGCCTATCTTTAGCTTTTTTTTCACTGTCGGGCTATAAATACGGACGATATATATGCCTACGTTATGTTTCAATGTCTGTGGTGAAAATTAAATAAATAAGAAACAATCCAAGCCCAAACTCTTTATTGTTAACTAATCCGTCCCGTCTATACAACAAAAAGCTCAGCAGCTGGCACTTTCTCCAGGAAACTATTAACGATAGAACCAAAATGTGGTGCAAATACCACTTGTAGGTGCTTATGAATGTGGAAAGTTTGTAGTCCCTTTTCATTCAGCGCAGAATTAAATTCCTCATTAAGCCGTTTATTTGCGAATAACTGCTTAAAATGAAATTTGAAGTCCTGTGGTTGGGCATCAAACTCCGACTTGATTACTCTATAGTACGTAGCACCTCTGTCGTATTCTTCCAATTTGAATGTAAAAACGAATGTTGGATTATCTGGAACTTATCCATGTAAAAACTTTGATACCTGTAACTGGTTAACACTCACTCAATATAAAATCGACAGATGTTACAACGTTCAAAGGCAGAAGAACAATAGTACCTTGAGCTTCGTATTCTATTTGTACGGTCAGTTGAGGGTAAGAAGCTGCTATTGTTAAGGTACTAACTACAGGGTCAAAATCTAAACTACATGGTTACGATAATTAGTAAAAAATGATAACTGCATTGACAAAAATAGTACCTGGCTGTTACACTCTCTGGTCTAGTGAGACCAATAAACCTGAATTTAGAAAACTTTTGTAATAATCCATACGTACGATTTCCTATTTCAGTAACAACATCCGGTGGAAATTCAAGATCATACAAACTTGGTAAACCAAATGACTTCTGAGGTTTGTCGAGTAGTTTAAGATTAGTGTAAATAGCATCACTTAAACACTGGTTGAAATCGCTTCGTCTCTTGTCACATTTTTTGAAACTAGAAGCTTCAACTTTTATTTACATAAGGTGTTAATTTACTTGCCAACTTGCACTTACGAAATTGCAGACAGTTGCACAAAGTCGTCAAAGTTACCACACCGAGGAGTAAGCTCTTCATTTCTGCACAAGCTGGGAGTTAATGAAATTTAAATTTTTCTGTGCTTATATTAGTACGAAAACACCAGAAAAATAGAGCAACATTTGAAAACCTGTTTCCTGCAAGGTAGTAGAAGGGGTCTTATCATACTAAAATAGAATCGTTACGTAAATCTTGTCTCCAATTTACTTATTAATAATCAATAATATATGTATTATTCTATCCATTCACGGTTTTTTCGAAGTACACATATTACCGATTCTTGTTTTTCGTCTCAACAGTCTCTAAATTCCAGAATTCCCAGAATTTTAAAAACTGTAAATTACGACAGAGATAAGTGGATAGTGGATTCTAGGGCAAATGCCTTTTCATTTACAACTTAAGGGTGCCCAGTAGCAGACCGAAAAATAAGCTAAATAGATTTTCATTTTACGGGCGTAATTTCAACTTTGAAAAAAAGATCGACATTTCAATTGATAGATTATGTCTAAATCTCTGGGGAAGACACAATATTTTTTAAAGTAAGTGATTGTTTATTGTTTAATTAATCGTTCATTCTTCGAAGGAAATTGCATTTTTAAACGAGGAGAGAGTATTTTTCGCTTCAACTTTTATATCAGTGCAAAGACAACATTGAGCTCGATGGGGAAGACCCGGTCATTTTTGTTTAAAATTTATATTTATCAAAATATTTGCTTTTAAAAAAATACAGAATAATGAAAATAAAGTGAAACTAGGCAACCCTATTTACAAAGTTTTCCGTTTCAATAAATGGCTGAGTTTTACACAGCAGGAAGCCTTGCCGACCGACCCTTTCAGGTAATCAGTCCAGGTACTTTAGGTCATAAAACTCATAAATGCTCTTAGTTGACCAACATTGTTGAAACTCGTTTACAAGTCGACTTCTTTCATTGCTGACATAATTTGATTTAAAAGTATGCAAATTTTTATAATTTTATACGTATTCTACTAAAATATCCTCTTTCAAAAAATTATTCGAATATTTTTTATTAATCTGTCATTTTAATGAATCAACGCACAAAACTGACAAGATTTACATTCTCATTACCTTATTACACTTATTTACCTGAACAATCATGTTTATTTAAATTTAATTTTTTGATACTCTTTTCCGCACCACCTATGGGGTAGAGTATTATAGGCACGTTTTTTTAGTGATATCTCCAGTAAACCTCTTCCAATATTACTATTTATTCCTGTGTGTGTTTATACTTGAAGGGCAAAAGATTTATATGAACTACACATGACGCGAATGCAAATAAAACATTTTAATGGTACAATTTTTTCTTTAAAATTTGTCTAATGGGTTGACTTGTTTAATAACGAGAATCTACTCTCTCCGGAAATAGGGCATATAAATAAAATTTTTCTAGCGCTCTATCATATTAATTTCCCAAAATTTATAATCTCGTTGAATTAAACATTATTTAAATTGGACATTTTATATATTTCTACGATAGCGTTTTTGTTTATTAAGTCCTAAATTAGCAATACTAGTGGAACAGTAATCATGCAACAGATTTTTTTGGGAAAGTACAGTTATTTTTATGTTTTAGCAGCAATGTGTTCTATTTTCTATTAATTTTTACATATTTTTAGTCACAATTTTGGTAGTTATTTTTTAATTTTATTTTTAGCAATAATAAGTAGTCCAAACATGAAAAAATAAAAAAAAATAAAATTGGAAAATCTAAAATTTAGAAATCGAGAAATTGAACAATCGTATAATTGAACAATCGTATAATTGAAAAATCGAAACATCGAAAAACTGGAAAATCGAAAAATTAAAAAAAAAATGGAAAATCAGAAATTTAATGAATTCCGAAAATTGAAAAACTGAAATATGCATAGAAGAACTGAAAGCTCGAGAAATCGAAAAATCTAGAATTTTAAAAATTGAAAAATTAAAATATCGAAAAGTTGAAAAATTGCGAAATCGTATCAGTGAAACATCGGACAATTGAGAAATCGAAAAATAAAAAAAAATAAGAAAACGAAAATTTGAAGAATGGAAAAATTGAAAATGTCAAAAATTAAACTACTGAAAAATTGAAACATCAAAAGTTGCGAAATCGAAAAACCGAAAAGCCGAAAAATCTCAATAAGGTATTTATAAACCACAAGTTCAGGATTATGCTACTAAAAAATAGATAACGTCATCTCAAAATTTTGCTGAATAAATTCTACTAAAAATGTGCAAAATATGATGAGTTTTTACTTGTAATTTATTATTGTATTCATATTTTTTTAGATTTGTTTATATACCTAGATGGCTCAAAAAATTTAATGAATGATTCAATTTATTTTGTTGATTAAATCAGTCTCGACTCACTCCATTTTCGCAGAAATTTTTGGAATACTGTTATTTTTAGCCTAATCCACATTGATTTACGTGTCCTTGTAAAATGTTGATGATTTCATCACAAAATTGTGTACCTAAAGTAAAAATTTAACTCGAAAATGCTGGATATGTTTCATTGTATTTTAGGTGCGAGGAAAGTTCTGTCGAAACAACTCTCCACCAATTTTTTTTGCTGATATATTTGAACATAAACAGTTTATTTTATGTATTTTTAAAACATTACAAAGAAAATAAGAAGTTGTGTTAGACTGAACCTTGTGGGTTTCTCAAGTTATTTTCCGCAGCATTTTAAACTTTCAACTCAATTTCTTTGATGGTTATTTCCCTGTACCCTTCATTTGAAAATAAATAAGCTTATCTGTGGTTGTTTACCGATTGTTTCCCAAAAGCCAAAATCCGCAGTTACCAGCAGAAACTATTTGGTTTCACCAAAATGGTACTCCACCCCATTTTGGACATCAAGTGCGTCAGTACCTATATGAAACTTTTCCTGGCAGATGGATAGGCCGAAGGTGGGGCTATTCGAAGAATCGCGTTTATATCAATGGACCGATATCAAAAGTGGGCCCAACCACCCACCCCTACTCCGTTTTGATGACCCATTTCATTGGCTTTGAGAAGGAAGTTGGATTATATTTTGACAAATAATAAAATCTAGGACTAGGTATATAGGGTTTACATAGCAATATTTAAAAATCATATAAAGTAGACACAATAAGGTACAACAGTGAGCCCTCTTCTCCGGGCCAATGAACTGAGTTATTAAGGTGGAACTCGTGTGATTGGGAGGAGCGTTTTACATATAATTCTCAGGTCTGGTATCTTTATTTAACAACAGCCAAATACTTTCTAGATACTTTATTTACAATTTATCGATTTTCTCACAGTTTAACAAAATTGCCTAAAATTTTATGTTAAAATAATGCCATTGATTAACCATATTAAGATTAATGACTAAAAACAAAGGGGAGGGCGGGTGAGCGGGGCTATTATTTGCTTATAAGATTCTGTCCTGTCACCATTTCGCCAACTTATCCACTTTACTGTAAAAGGGAATTGAATTTTGATTTGATAGGAGGTGGAATCTATGATTTAAATCAAAATCAAAAGTGGGCCCACCCACCCACCCCTACTCCTTTTTCATAATTCCTTTTATTGGCTCTGAGACGAAAGTTAGACTTTCTGTTGAGAAATAGAATTTAGGACTAGATTTTTTTTTATAAAATGTAGATTTTTATTTGAAAAACGACTTTACCGTCACCGTTTACATAGAAATGTTTAAAAATCATATAAAGTAGACACAATGAAGTACGACTGTAAACGCCGCCTCTCTTTTCTAGTCCAATGACATGGAGGAGGAGCTTGTGTGAGTGGAAGGAGCATCAGTAATCTTACTTTTTAAATGTAATAGTTACATCTGGTGTGCTTATTTAACCCCAGGTAAATACCTAGTAGATATTTTGTTTACAATTTCTCTATTTTCTCACCAACAGATTAACAGATTTGAGTGAGATTCTAATAAGATAATATTATTTTCATTAAATAACAGTATTAAGAGTTGTCTTTGGAATCAAGAGGGGGCGGGTGGGTGGGGCTATTTCTTGATTATAAGACTGTAGAAAAATGCTAAACTTAACGCCCCTCAAGTTCTGCTTCCATTTAACTGAGTTATTTTGTTTACTGTTAAAAGAATCAAAAGTGGCCCCACCCACCCACCCACTCCATTTTGGTAATTCATTTTATTGGCTCTGAGACGAAAGTGAGATTTTATATTGACAAATAGTATAATTTACGGCTTGCCTTTTTCTATAAAACTTTGACTTTAATCAAAACGGGACTTTTCCATCACCATTCACATCGAAATATTTAAAAATCATATAAAATAGCCACAATGAGGTACAATTGTAAATCCGGCCCAATTCCGGCCAATGAAATGATTTATTAAGGTCTGGAGCTTAGTGGAAGAACCATCCGTAATATTGGTATGCTTATTTAACACCAGTCCAATAATTTCTATATATTTTATTGTTAACAAATTATAAAGCAAATATTTCTATTGGTCAGAAAGTTCGGCAACTGGTTCCTTGTTCAGGAAGCTGTCGAAAACAGAACCAAAATGTGGTGTAAACACCACTTGTAAATGTTAAAAAGTTCAAGCGATTGAGTTTCAAGCTCATATTCCCACGTAAGCTCAGATTAAGAAAGCTCTATTGTTAACGTACTAATTACCCAAAATCTAACCTATTTATAAGTTGTCAAATAAAAGTACTAAAACAACCCTAAAACAAAACCTGGTTTTTATACTTTGAGGATTAGGAAGACCAGTCACCCTAAATTTAAAATACTTTTTCCATAATCCATACGTGCGATTCCCTATTTCCATCACAGCGTCTGGTTCAACAAAACGCAAACTTGGAAAACCAGGCAAAGGTTTGTCCAGAACTTTAAGACTGTCGTATTAGAAAACATCACTTAAATATTCATTGAAATCGTCTCGTCTCTTGTCGCATTTCACTTAACACAATTTCGAGCTTTCTGTGGTTATATAGACGAAAACGACAACAAAAAATTGAACAACAATTGAAAACCTGTTTTGTCCAAGGTAATTAAAACGGAAATTATACTAAAATAGGTTTGTTACGTAAATCTTGTCTACAACAATAAAGACAGGTTAATCACCAATTAATGTTTAATTTATTTAAAGGTTAGGTCAGGAATATACATAAATATTGATTATGATAATTTTTGTGATGAATATAAAGAATTTAACCAATTATGGATATCTCTATTCAACAAAAAGTGCAGCAGCGGGTACCTTCTCCATAAAACTACTAAACAGAGAATCAAAGTGTGGCGCAAAATGGGCTTGCAGAGGTTTGTGAATGTGGAAAATCTGTAATCCCTTTTCGTTCATCGCGGAATTAAATTCATCGTTAAGACGTTTGTTGGAGAATAATTTATTAAAATCAAACCTGAAGGCCTCCGTCTGTACATCTAAATTAGAGTCGATCACTCTAACATGGGTATCACCTTTATCATATTCTTCGAGTTTAATTGTCAACGTAAAGGTTGGATTTTCTACAACTTGGGCACGTGAAAACCTTGATTATTGTAACTGCTTACTACCTGCTATAAAATCCACAGGGGTCACAACATTTAAAGGTAAAAAAAGAATAGTACCTTGAGCTTCGCATTCCATCTGTAATATCAGTTGTGGGAAAAAAGCTTCAACTGTTAAGGTACTAATGACAGGCTCAAAATCTAACCTGTTTTTCAGAGTTAATAACAAATGGTAAATATACTAATTAAAATAGTACCTAGCTGTTACACTCTCGGGTTTAGTAATACCAACAATTCTGAATTTGTTATACTTTTGTAATAATCCATACGTACGATTCCCTATTTCAATAACCACATCTGGTGGAAATTTAAGATGATACAAATTTGGTAAACCATGCGATTGTTGGGGTTTGTCGAATTTTTTAAGACTATTATAAATAACCTCACTTAAACACTGGTTGAAATCACTTCGTCTCTTATCGCATTTTTTGAAACTAGAAGCTTCCAAATTTATTCACATAAGTTGTTAGCTTAATTGTCAAAATGCACTTACGACATTGCACATAGTTACTTAAAGTCGCCAATGTTACTACACAAAGCACCAAACTATTCATCTTCGTGATAAAAATTCACTTAATAAAATTTCAAATAATGTGTTGTTATATATAGAAAGACAACAATAATAAAACGAGTACAATTGAAAACCTGCTGCTTGCAAGGTAATTAAATGATATTACCATACCAGAATAGACACGTTACGTAAATCTTGTCTCCACGAGATATATTAATAATCAATAAATAATATTAATTAAAGCAATCCAAAACCTTTTTTTTATTTTTAGATATTAAATATAACATAGTTCAAATTAACAGTTAATATCCTGTGTTTGAAACAAACGTCTAATCTACAAAAAGATCAGCGACTGGTACTTTTTCGAAGAAACTATTAAAAATAGACCCAAAATGTGGTGCCATATACCCATGCAGCGGTTTATATATGCTGAAAATTTGGACTCCTTTTTCATTTATTGCGGAATTAAATTCATCATTAAGGAGTTTGTCGGAGAACAACTGCTTAAAACGAGGCGTAAAGTCGTCTGTTTCCATACCGAAATTAGAATGGATCACTTTAAAGTAGGTAGCACCTTTTTCATATTCTTCGAGTTCAATTGTGAAAGTGAAGGTTGGATTACCTAAAACTTGCCCGTGTACAAATCTTGACAATTGCAATTGGGGAAACTCACCCATTATCAATTCCAGAGATGTTTGGACGTTTAAAGGTAAAAGAACGGTGGTACCTTGAGCTTCATAGTCCATCTGCCAGGTAATTTCAGCGTAAGAGGCTTCTATTGTTAGAGTACTAACTAAAGGCCCAAATTCTAACCTAGCTGTTACACTTTCAGGGTTAGAAAGACCAATTGACCTGAAATTACTGAACTTTTGCGCTAGTCCGTAGGTACTATTTCCTACTTCTATAATAACATCGGAAGGAAATTCAATGTAATGCAGACTTGGTAAACCATGGGATTTCAGAGGTTTGTCGAGTGCTTTAAACCCTTCATAAACAACATCACTTAAGCACTGGTTGAAATCGTTTCGCCTCTTATCGCATTTTTTGAATCTAGAAGCTTCAACATTTGTTAATATATGTAGAGTCCTAATTTGGTATTAAAATACACTTACGAAATTGCACACAGTTACAAAATGTCGCCAAAGCGACTAAACAAACCAGAAAGTTGTTCATTATTGAGATTGAAACACACTTAACAGAATTTCAATTTTCCTGGGCTTAAATATATAGGCAAACACCAAAAAAATAATAGCCCAACAATTGGAAACCTGCTTTTGGCAAGGTAATTACTAGCATTATCATACTAAAACAGTTTGGTTATGTAAATCTGGTCTGCAGTAAAAATAGCGAAGTTGTCGATAAATTAATTGCGTTTCCCACTTCTGCTAAATTTTTTAACCTATATCCCTATAACAGGGTATGCTTCTGCCTATCTTTAGCTTTTTTTTTTCATTGTCGGACTATATTCTTCCCCATTTATATGTAACCCACAAATACGGACATTATATGTGGATACGTTATGTTTCAGTGTCTGTGGTGAAGATTAAATAATTAAGAAACAATCCAAGCTCAAACTCTTTATTGTTAACTAATCCGTCCCGTCTATTCAACAAAAAGCTCAGCAGCTGGTACTTTCTCCAGGAAACTATTAACGATGGAACCAAAATGTGGTGCAAATATCACTTGTAGGTGCTTATGAATGTGGAAAGTTTGTAGTCCCTTTTCACTCAGCGCAGAATTAAATTCCTCATTAAGCCGTTTATTCGTGAATAACTGCTTAAAATGAAGCTTGAAGTCCTGTGGTTGGGCATCGAACTCCGACTCGATTACTCTAAAGTACGTAGCACCTTTGTCGTACTCTTCCAGTTTAAATGTAAAAACAAACGTCGGATTATCTGAAACTTGTCCATGTAAAAACTGTGATACCCGAAACTGGTTAACACTCACTCAATATAAAATCGACAGATGTTGCAACGTTCAAAGGCAGAAGAACAATAGTACCTTGAGCTTCGTATTCCATCTGCACGGTCACTTGAGGGTAAGTAGCTGCTATTCTTAAGGTACTAACTAGAGGGTCAAAATCTAAACTAGATAGTTACGATAATTGATAAAAAATGATAACTGCATTGACAAAAATAGTACCTGGCTGTTACACTCTCTGGTCTAGTGAGACCACTGAATCTGAATTTAGAAAACATTTGTAATAATCCATACGTACGATTTCCTATCTCAGTAACAACATCCGGTGGAAATTCAAGATCATATAAACTTGGTAAACCAAACGACTTCTGAGGTTTGTCGAGTAGTTTAAGATTAGTGTAAATAGCATCACTTAAACACTGGTTGAAATCGCTTCGTCTCTTGTCACATTTTTTGAAACTAGAAGCTTCAACTTTTATTTACATAAGGTGTTGATTTACTTGCCAACTTGCACTTACGAAATTGCAGACAGTTGCACAAAGTCGCCAAAGTTATCACACGGATGAATAAGGTGTTCATTTCTGCACTAGCCTGGGATTAATGAGATTTAAATTTTTCTGTGCTTATATTAGTACGAAAACACTACAAAAATAGAGCAACATTTGAAAACCTGTTTCCTGCAAGGTAGTAGAAGGGGTATTATCATACTAAAATAGAATCGTTACGTAAATCTTGTCTCCAATTTACTTATTAATAATCAATAATATATGTATTATTCTATCCATTCACGGTTTTTTCGAAGTACACATATTACCGATTCTTGTTTTTCGTCTCAACAGTCTCTAAATTCCAGAATTCCCAGAATTTTAAAAACTGTAAATTACGACAGAGATACGTGGAGAGTGGATTCTAGGGCAAATGCCTTCTCATTTACAACTTAAGGGTGCCCAGTAGCAGACCGAAAAATAAGCTAAATAGATTTTCATTTTACGGGCGTAATTTCAACTTTGAAAAAAAGATCGACATTTCAATTGATAGATTATGTCTAAATCTCTGGGGAAGACACAATATTTTTTAAAGTAAGTGATTGTTTATTGTTTAATTAATCGTTCATTCTTCGAAGGAAATTGCATTTTTAAACGAGGAGAGAGCATTTTTCACTTCAATTTTTATATCAGTGCAAAGACAACATTGAGCTCTATGGGGAAGACCCGGTCATTTTTGTTTAAAATTTATATTTATCAAAATATTTGCTTTTTAATAAAATACTGAATAATGAAAATAAAGTGAAACTAGGCAACCCTATTTACAAAGTTTTCCGTTTCAATAAATGGCTTAGTCTTACACAGCAGGAAGCTTTGCCGACCGACCATTTCAGGTAATCAGTCCAGGTACTTTAGGTCATAAAGCTCATAAATACTCTTAGCTGACCAACATTGTTGAAACTCTTTTACAAGTCGACTTCTTTCATTGCTGACATAATTTGATTTAAAAGTATGCAAATTTTTATAATTTTATACGTATTCTACTAAAATATTTTCTTTCAAAAAATTATTCGAATATTTTTTATTAATGTGTCATTATAATGAATCAATACACAAAACTGACAAGATTTAGATTCTCATCACTTCACTAACCACTTATTTACCTGAACTATCATATTTATTTAAATTTAATTTTTCCGCACCACCTATGAGGTAGAGTTCTATAGGCACGTTTTTTACGTGATTTCTCCAGTAAACCTATTCCAATAATACTATTTATTCCTGTGTGTGTTTATACTAGAAGGGCAAAAGATTTATATGAACTACACATAACGCGAATGCAAATAAAAAATTTTAATTATACAATTTTTTATTTACAATTTGTCTAATGGGTTGACTTGTTTAATAACGAGAATCTACTCTCTCCGGAAGTAAGGCATATAAATAAAATTTTCTAGGGCTCTATCATATTATTTTCCCAGAATTTATCATCTCGTTGAATTAAGCATTATTTAAATTGGACATTTTATATATTTCTACGATAGCGTTTTTTTTTATTAAGCCGTCTGGCGATGCCGCTAAAAATGTACAAACCGCATTGTCTTATTGTCAGTTTAGTGTTACTGCAAAATGCTTCAGTTGCCCTTGCTTCATTTTCTATGCAAAGATTTTGGGAGAGTACATGCTGAACTAGATTTGCAGGGATGTAAAATGTTTTTCACAGTACAGTAGGATTAGCCGTGTTACTTGTTCTCTCATTTTGCAAATTTTACCAAAATAATGTTCGGTTAGTCTAAAGGATTTTTTTTCTGCGCACCATTCTGGATTATTGCGTTCGCCAATTGTGTTTTGTTCGATTAAATAGACATCAACGTTTGAAAGTTTTTTGAGAAATACTTTTTGCGCTGTGACATATCAGGTATCAGCTGCCTTGTTAGATACATCGTCGCCCGAGAACTTGTATGATCCACAGACCGGAGCGCGTTCAGGCCAATGTCGACTCTATAAGCCTCCAGAAATTCTGCGGCAAATAGTTATTATTTAGATGCTTTTGTTTACACACGTCTCACATGTTTCACTCGATTTTGACACTCAACTATTTTTTTGTTTAACTAAGAATTAATACTTTCATTGCGTTTGATACTAACGTCCTAAATTAGCAATACTAGTGGAACAGTAATCATGCAACAGATTTTTTTGGGAAAGTACAGTTATTTTTATGTTTTAGCAGCAATGTGTTCTATTTTCTATTAATTTTTACATATTTTTAATCACAATTTTGGTAGTTATTTTTTACTTTTATTTTTAGCAATAATAAATAGTCCAAACATGAAAAAATAAAAAAAAATTAAAATTGGAAAATCTAAATTAGAAATCGAGAAATTAAACAATCGTATAATTAAAAAATCGAAACATCGAAAAACTGGAAAATCGAAAAATTAAAAAAAATGGAAAATCAGAAATTTAATGGATTCAGAAAATTGAACTGAAATATGCATAGAAGAACTGAAAACTTGAGAAATCGAAAAATCTAGAATTTTAAAAATTGAAAAATTATCGAAAAGTTAAATAATTGGAAATAGTATCAGTGAAACATCGGACAATTGAGAAATCGAAAAATAAAAAAATGGAGAAAATGAAAATTTGAAAAATGGAAAAATTGAAAATGTCAAAAATTAAAACTGAAACATCAAAAATTGAGAAATGGAAAAACCGAAAAGCCGAAAAATCTCAATAATGTCTTTATTAACCACAAGTTCAGGATTATGCTACTAAAAAATTGATAACGTCATCTCAAAATTTTCAACTGTTAAGGTAGAGGAAAGGCAGTGATTGTGGAATAGGACGATAATGTGGAATATCACTATTTTGAAAAAATTGACAGCGCTATCTGTGTTCTGCTGGCATAACTCAAATACCCTTTGGTGCATACATTGATTAAATACATATAGATAGACCCATGCTATTGTTTGGAGCGAACAGGCCAACGGCCGGCGAACAAGAGATGGCGCACCAACAGTCGGCCGTCAAACGCCGGCGAAAAGCTTGGACACCAATCGCGCGCGTAGATAACCCAAATCGCAGCAACAATACATTTAATAAAGCTACCACTCGACAGAGGGCGACGAAAACAATGTGTAAAAATCTCATAGTAACCATTTATATAATTTGCAACGTTGCCAGATGAGCCTAGCACAACTTTGCCGTTATTTCTAGTCGATTAGATTTTATTTCGTTTAAAAGTTTCTGGTGAATAAATGGAATTATTATAATGAATAAACAATACAAACAAATTATTACTTGTTATTTTAAATATTTGTTAGTGTTGATGAAAACATAAATGGTAATTAAAGTTATTCTAAATACGGTCCGGTCCGGTAGCTCAAATTTTACAGTACGAGTAATTTGTTTCAGGACGAGTAGGTAGCCGAGTCTTTAATTTCGAAACGAGTACTGCGAAAAGAGTTACCGGACGTATGTTGTTATGTATTTTATTTCATACTGTCAACATACTTTTTTATTCGATAAAATTATTATTATTTTGAGAAAAAATCCAAATCGAGTCACTTTTTCTGACATCGTTAGCAACCGCTCTTTGGTAAATGTTTTAATTTGTTTATTCGTGCAAATCAGCATCATATGTTTAAACACATAGTACTTATAACACTTTACAGGACTTATTGTTTTGTATAATCCGACTCGATGGACGAATGTTTTGTGCAATCCGTCTCGAAGGACCAATGTTTGTGCAACTCGGCTCGTCCTACCAGTATTTTTTGTAATCTGGTTGATACGACAATGTGATACCGAATTGTACTTTGATATTGCTCCAAGGACCTTTGTTTTCTTGCGTGCGAGATAATAGACAGCGTTCGGTTTCGATGTTTAATACAGGACGGTTACAGAAGTACTAAATTTACATTTGTATTTACAATAACAGGTAAAGCAAAAGAGACCCAAAAGGGTCAGTGGCCGCTTCCGGAAATGGAAGACTTGTCCTTTTTGGCCACGGAGGTAGAAGAGACACTCTTCAAGAGTGTCTCTTCTACCTCCGTGTTTTTGACTCAATTTTATCAGACTTGTCCGTTTTTTTTTATTTTACCGGAATAGTTCGATCCAGTAAAACGTCAAACTTGACATAGTATGAAGTAAAATAAATAAATTTTATGATGTAAATACAATTAAGTGTATCGATAATAATTCGCTACTGAAAATTTATTGAAATATAATTTGTGTTAAAAAAAGATTTTTGTGGTTTTATGGTTTATTAAATGTAATTAAAATAAATAATATCAAGAACTTGTATTATATATCAAAAACATTCATTGTAAATAAGAAAATTATGTAAATAAACCATAAAACCATACAAAATTTTCCTGCGACCTCTATTCAAAATCCCAGTTTACCAATAGGAATTAAGGCACAAAGATGTTTCACTGAATTTATTACCGATTTTTCAAGAAAAGTATGCTTATAAGCCTATAAGCGTCTAATGGGTTAAAACAACAAATAATAATCACAATTTATTTGTTTTATATGTTCATTACAATAATCCCATTTATTTACCAGAAACTTCTAAATGAAATAATATCTGGTTGACGAGAAATATCCGCAAATTTGTGTTAGGCTCATCTGGCAACGTTTTCGGTAGGTAGGTATCAATGGAATAATGCGATTAGGTATACTGACCGTTTTAAGGAGTGCTCGTCCAATAGTGCGTAAACTAAAAGATTTGGTAATTTTCTTGGAAGAGTTTGTTTCTTCAATGAAAATTTATGGTTTTTAATTCTTCGGCCGCTTGAAAGTCTCGCCATGTGAAAATAGATTATTTGATAACCTGTTTCGTAATAATTGTAAATACGAACAAAAGCATATTTGCATATTCTAAACAACTGGCCATATCGATTCCAAACTTGTACAGATATGTTTTTTATTGTTTCTGTTTTCAATGAAATAAATTTTATTTGCAAAATACCTAATGTCTTAACGACATATCACGCATACATACTACCCCATTTACTATATTTTCAATCTGTGCATTTTTCGCTTCATTCGTAGGAGCCAAGTAAGAAGTATCAGTGAGACCGGCGGACTTTCAATAGCTCGTAAATGAAAAGATTTAGTAAAGTTTCCTAGAACAGTCTGTCTCTTCATAAAAAAATGTAGACATTTTTACTATGAAATATATGTACAATACGGTATATTCCACTGTTTGTTTTCTTTGAGATACGACTAGTTCTTGTGCCGAAGTGAAACACCAAAAAGTCTAAAGTCCGGAAATCAGAGTGAATTTTAAAACACATAAAACGACTTCTTTATTTATTTAAATATTGTCCTGTAACGTCCTGTGACGTGGAATGGAGTTTCTTAATGTACAAAAGTATGTTAGATAATAACCGAAAAATTTTCTTGATTAAAACTAAAGGAAACACAATTATTACTTGGAATAAAAATAAAGAATATCAAGAACTTGTGCTATGTATTAAAAATATTTAATTTCAAATAAGTACATTATGTTAATAAACCATAAAACCACAAAAATCTTTTTTTAACACAAATTATATTTCAATAAATTTTCAGTAGCGAATTATCGATATACTCAATTGTATTTACATCATAATAGTTATTTATTATACAAGCGGTTAAAGTGAATGTTTAATGAGCGGCCAGTTTAAGGCGAGAGCGGCGTATGCCGCGAGCGCATTAAGACCACGAGTTACACATTCATTTTAACCGCGAGTGTAATACAAACTTTTATTCAATTTTGACAACCCCAAGTCCCAAATTGTGAAAAAATTGGTGATTCAAAGTTCACATTCGAGAAACGTCAGAATTGACAGCGACCAAATAAAAGTTTTATATGCGTAGAATTTAGGTTACAATATCAGGTGTGTGTGTGTAGTATGTGACTCTGGCGACGGTGTTTGTTTATTTTAAGCAAACTAAAATTATCGAAAAATTGCAAAATCATGCAAGATTCCAACGGCAAAACTTGCTCCCAAAAAAGAGCAAATCAGAAAGTGTATCAAAAGTTCCTTAGATGGAAAGAGCAGCAAGGCATTGGAGAAATTACAGAAATGGTAACCATGGTTTTAAAACAGCAAAATAAAAATTTTATTTCGCTAGCGGTTTAAAAATTTTATGGTGCTACCGGATAAACCAAAGCTTTAGTGGCCTACTGACGGCAAAATAAACGTTTGTTTACATGTCAAAATTGAATAAAATTTATTTATTTTACTTTATACTATGTCAAGTTTGACGTTTTACTGGATCGAACGATTCCGGTAAAATCAAAAAAACGGACAAGTCCGATAAAATTGAGCCAAAAAGGACAAGTGTTCCATTTCCGGAAGCGGCCACTGACCCTTTTGGGTCTCTTTTGCTTTACCTGTTATTGTAAATACAAATGTAAATTTAGTATTTCTGTAACCGTCCTGTATTAAACATCGAAACCGAACGCTGTCTATTATCTCGCACGCAAGAAAACAAAGGTCCTTGGAGCAATATCGAAGTACAATTCGGTATCACATTGTCGTATCAACCAGATTACAAAAAATACTGGTAGGACGAGCCGAGTTGCACAAACATTGGTCCTTCGAGACGGATTGCACAAAACATTCGTTCATCGAGTCGGATTATACAAAACAATAAGTCCTGTAAAGTGTTATAAGTACTATGTGTTTAAACATATGATGCTGATTTGCACGAATAAACAAATTAAAACATTTACCAAAGAGCGGTTGCTAACGATGTCAGAAAAAGTGACTCGATTTGGATTTTTTCTCAAAATAATAATAATATTATCGAATAAAAAAGTATGTTGACAGTATGAAATAAAATACATAACAACATACGTCCGGTAACTCTTTTCGCAGTACTCGTTTCGAAATTAAAGACTCGGCTACCTACTCGTCCTGAAACATATCACTCGTACTGTAAAATTTGAGCTACCGGACCGGTCCGTATTTAGAATAACTTTAATTACCATTTATGTTTTCATCAACACTAACAAGTATTTAAAATAACAAGTAATAATTTGTTTGTATTGTTTATTCATTATAATAATTCCATTTATTCACCAGAAACTTTTAAACGAAATAAAATCTAATCGACTAGAAATAACGGCAAAGTTGTGCTAGGCTCATCTGGCAACGTTGCAAATTATATAAATGGTTACTATGAGATTTTTACACATTGTTTTCGTCGCCCTCTGTCGAGTGGTAGCTTTATTAAATGTATTGTTGCTGCGATTTGGGTTATCTATGCGCGCGATTGGTGTCCAAGCTTTTCGCCGGCGTTTGACGGCCGACTGTTGGTGCGCCATCTCTTGTTCGCCGGCCGTTGGCCTGTTCGCTCCAAACAATAGCATGGGTCTATCTATATGTATTTAATCAATGGGGTTATCTACGCGCGCGATTGGTGTCCAAGCTTTTCGCCGGCGTTTGACGGCCGACTGTTGGTGCGCCATCTCTTGTTCGCCGGCCGTTGGCCTGTTCGCTCCAAACAATAGCATGGGTCTATCTATATGTATTTAATCAATGCTCCAAACAATAGCATGGGTCTATCTATATGTATTTAATCAATGGTGCATAATAATGCACAGCTGCAGTTACCTGCTTTAACTGTGAACATAACCTAAGAATTAATTTATTTGTATATTCTGCGCAGTAGAAAAGTTTTGGTAAGTTTCAATTTTACTTTATATTTTTCATATAAGTGTTATAAAAGTCATAGATATTGTCATACAGAATACGTCTCTAATCAACAGTTAAATGCCATCTCATTTAACATTTATTTATGTGGTATTACTATTATTTTTTAATAAAAATCGTTCGTAGGCTCGTTGCGTTAATGTGGAATACTGACTAGTACGGTAATGTGGACTATTCCACATTAACCGGTTTTAAGTTAATTCTAATATTACCTGTATTTTAAGGACTATGTCAGTCAAAAAAGAACAACTATGGTCCGAAAGCGGTATGGAAAAAGCTGGCGTAGCTGTAAAAAGTAAAAAAATGGGCTATTTGCGGGCAGCCAAACATTTCAATGTGCCTAGAACGACTTTATATAGATATGTTAAAAAAAACAAGGAAATTAAGAAAGAAAAATTAGACAGGAAAGCTGTCCTACCTCCTGAACTAGAAGAAGAACTTGTTCAATATCTGTTAACTATGGAGTCGAAATTTTTTGGCCTAACGAGGAAAGATGTGCGTTCAATTGCTTACCAGTTGGCCAAAGTAAATAAAATTGAGAATTATTTATTAATTTTAATTAATCTATTATTTTTTAATAAAACAATCCAAATATTTCATCATTTCCATGTACCTTTGTATGATAATGTGAGATTTTTGGCGGTATTCCACAATAGCCACCCATTTTCTCGACCCCCGAAAATTACATAAAAGTACAAAATTTGTTATATATCGAACAAAAATCCATAATTGAAAAAAATCTTCTGAGAGGTTTATAGAATAATAATTAGCCTATCATTTGACATAGTTACATGATTTTTTGTTGAAACATTTTTTTTCTGCAAGCAAGAACAAAAAGGGTATTCCACAATCACCGCCTCTCCTCTACTAATTACAGGCCCGAAGTCTAACCTGTTTTTCAAAGTTAATAACAAATCGTAAATATACTAATTCAAATGGTACCTGGCTTTTACACTCTCGGGTTTAGTAAGACCAACAATACTGAATTTGTTATACTTTTGTAATAATCCATACGTACGATTCCCTATTTCAATAACCACATCTGGCGGAAATTCAAGATGATACAAATTCGGTAAACCATGCGATTGTTGAGGTTTGTCGAATAGTTTAAGACTGTTTTAAATAACCTCACTTAAACACTGGTTGAAATCGCTTCGTCTCTTATCGCATTTTTTGAAACTAGAAGCTTCCAAATTTATTCACATAAGTTGTTAGATTAATTGTCAAAATGCACTTACGACATTGCACATAACTACTTAAAGTCGCCAATGTTACTACACAAAGCACCAAACTATTCATCTTCGTGGTAAAAATTCACTTAATAAAATTTCAAATAATGTGTTGTTATATATAAGAAGACCACAATAATAAAACGAGTACAATTGAAAACCTGCTGCTTGCAAGGTAATTAAATGATATTACCATACCAGAATAGACATGTTACGTAAATCTTGTCTCCAAGAGATATGTTAATAATCAATAACTAATATTAACTAAAGCAATCCAAATCCTTTTTTTATTTTTAGATATTAAAACATAACATAGTTCAAATTAACAGTTAATATGCTGTGTTTGAAGCAAACGTCTAATCTACAAAAAGTTCAGCGACTGGTACTTTCTCGAAGAAACTATTAAAAATAGACCCAAAATACGGTGCCATATTCACTTGTAGGTGTTTATGAATGTTGAAAACCTGCACTCCTTTTTCGTTCAGTGCGGAATTAAATTCATCATTAAGGAGTTTGTCGGAGAACAACTGCTCAAAACGAGGCGTAAAGTCGTCTGTGTGCATATCGAAATCAGAATGGATCACTTTAAAGTAGGTAGCACCTTTTTCGTATTCTTCGAGTTCAATTGTGAAAGTTAAAGTTGGGTTGCCTAAAACTTGCCCGTGTACAAACTTTAACAATTACAACCGGTGAACACTCACGTAATATCAAATCCAGAGATGTTTGGACTTTTAAAGGCAGAAGAACGGTGGTACCTTGAGCGTCATATTTCATTTGCCAGATAATTTCAATGTAAGACGCTTCTATTGTTAGAGTACTGACTACAGGCCCAAATTCTAACCTAGCTGTTACACTTTCGGGTTTAGAGAGACCAATTATCCTGAGTTTACTAAACTTTTGTTCTAGTCCGTAGGTACTATTTCCTATTTCTATAATAACGTCTGGCGGATATTCAATGTCGTGCAGACTTGGTAAACCATGGGATTTCAGAGGTTTGTCGAGTACTTTAAACCCTTCATAAACAACATCACTTAAGCACTGGTTGAAATCACTTCGTCTTTTGTCGCATTTTTTGAAACTAGAAGCTTCAATATGTCTTAGTATAGAGTGTCAGTAATATTAAAATAAACTTACGAAATTGAACACAGTTACAAAAAGTCGCCAAAGTGACAAAACAAACCAGAAAGTTGTTCATTATGGAGACCGAAGTACACTTAATAGAATTTCAATTGTCCTGGGCTTAAATATATAGCAAAATGCCAAAAAAAATAATGGCACAATAATTGGAAACCTGATTTTGGCAAGGTTATCAGTAGCATTATCATACTAAAATAAGTTGGTTACGTAAATCTTGTCTGCAGTAAAAACAAAGAAATCCTCCATAAATTAATTGCTCTTTTTGCTGATCTTCCACTATCTTTAAAAATAGTAGGGGTTTTCAGTTAACTCCTCAAGTTGTTCAGGTAACATAAAGCAATTTAATAGGTCATCGTCAGGGAATGATTTAAATCAGGCAATTATTAATATTTACACTATAAATATTCAGTGCCTTAGTAATAAGATCCACGAGTTAGGGGCATTTTTGAAATGTTCAGAACCTCTTGAAATAATTTGCTTAAATGAACATTGGCTGAATTCCACTGAAATTCATTCATTAAAATTGGAACAGTATGAGATTGTTACAAATTTTTGTCGTTTACGTCATATTCATGGTGGAGTTTGTATTCTTCTACATAGAAGTATTACTCATTTTAAGATTTTAAACTGTACTAAATTCTGTCATGAAATTCATTGTGAATTTGTTCGAATAAGCACCAACAATCTCGTCATAGTTTCTGTCTATAGATCGCCTAGTGGTGACTTTGATGTTTTCCTTTCAAACCTAGATTCTCTACTAAATAGCATAATAGGGAGAAACAGTGCTTCACACATTGTTGTAACTGGTGATTTCAACACAGACTTTCTTTTTGTCATCTACCATTGATGTCTATTTACTAGAGATGTACCGACTGTAGGTCTGGGCGACTAACCGACCAGCCGATTGTTCGGCCAGTAAAAACCAACTAGTCGGCCGACTGTTCGGCTTTGCTAAAACCGGTTTATAAATGCGACAGACAGTGTGTTTTTTTTTTTCTATTTCTCTGACTACCTTAAAAATGTGTTTTATTTTAATAAAAGGAATAACTAAAGTTTCTTTGTTTTCCAAAAAATGTGTTAAATTTGTTTGGATAATTTTAACATTTAATTATTTTTAGTAATTAAATCGCAATTAAATATTTAATTGAGGTTCTGTAAACTGTGTTTAATTGTTTTATATACTATTTTAATTTTAATAAAAGAAGCCGACCGATCGGCTGTTTAGCCGACCAGTCGCCGACTGCAGCCGACGATGAAAAACGGCCGAATAGTCGGCTTATCCGACCGGTCGGCCACTGGTCGGTACATCCCTACTATTTATAATAATAATACTTTATTTCAACGCCAAAATAGCTTTAAGTACATGGATTTACAAAGAAGGAGGATACATAGAGTAAAAAATACACACACCTATAATTACCTACATAAGAAGAAGAATTCGTAATTTATGTTTAAAAGAGTTAAATGAAGCATAACAAAAGAAATCAATTTCATTGTAATACAAGTTAGAAACATTCAAAATTTCATGTAAAGGTGAAGCTTTAACATATAATTAGTTACGGCAAAATCAATATAAAATAAAGACTTAATCCTAGTCAGATGTTGGGGCACTCTAAATTTGATCATGTTAAGTAGATCAGGCACATCAATAAGGTTATTAAGCAGTTTATAAATGAAGCAAATACTAAAATAAGTTTTCCTAGTACAAAAGGTAGACAAATGAAGGTAAGACAGCATAAGCTCTAGAGAGCAATTTATATTTGAAGGTAATCTAAACTTGACAAAATTCAAAAATATTTTAATATCGAATCAATACGCTCCAGGTGAGTTTTGTAATGTGGACCCCAAATTATACATCCATAGTCAATAATAGGTACGACTAAAGTTTTATATAAATGAACAATAGTTGTATAATCAAGGAAGTCTCTTGAATACCTTTTGATGCATCCCAGTACCTTACTTGCTTTGTTAATAACATGATCAATATGAAAAGAGAAATTCAGCTGACTATTAAGAAATATACCGAGATCCTTAACACAGGGCACAGATTTTAAAACAGTATTGTTAATTAAGTAACGAGGAATCGATTTATTTTTTTTCCGAGTAAAGCATATACTATAACATGTTTCCAAGTTTAAATTCATGCTATTCTCAACACACCAACGATATAAACTGTTAAGATCTGCTTGCATTAATTCACAGTCACTGTTACTATTAATATTAAAAAAAAATTTCAAGTCGTCAGCAAATAAACTGTAATTGCATTTAAAATTCTTTCCAATATCATTGATAAATAAACAAAATAGAAATGGTCCCAAAATAGATCCTTGAGGAACCCCCGAAGGCACACCTCGTCTGTCAGATAAGATACTTTTGATTTTAACCTGCTGAGTTCTACTATCCAGATAACTACCAAACCATTTAAGGAGAGGGTCAAAGACTCCGTAAGCAGCTAATTTTTGTACTAAAATATAATGATTGACTTTGTCAAATGCCTTACAAAAATCACTATAGACGGCATGAACCTCCAGACCATTACCCATGGATTCAAGAATAGAATTTACATAATGAAATAGATTAGTGATTACAGAGCGCTTTGGAAAGAACCCATGTTGACATGGAGAAATTACAGATTTAAACAAAGGAAATAGTTTCTCTAACACAATAAATTCAAACAGTTTACTTATAGTAGAAAACAACGAAATTGGACGGTAATTATTGATACGATTTCTAGCACCATTTTTGTATACTGGGACTACAAACGCATGTTTCCATGTATCAGGGAATACTCCTGATGAAAGAGAAAGATTAAATAAAATTTGCAAAGGCAAGACAAGAGCTTCATGACACATTTTTAAAAATTTAGGTGGCAGTCCATCAGGCCCGGGTCCCTTATTAACGTCTAACTTATTAAGAGCATTTTCAATTTCAACAAGACTAACAGAAATAGATCCAACATTAACAGACTTATCAGGTAGCAAAGTACATTTCACAAAATTATTGAAATCAAATGCAGTAAAGAAGTATTCATTAAATGCATCACAGATGGCTTTATCATCACTTAAAATATGCAAGTCCTGAGATAACATAGGCGAAGGTGTATAATTAAGTTTAGATTTTTTGCTAACAAATTTCCAAAAATTTTTGGGATTAGACTTACGATCATTTTCAATGCCAGCTAAATATATACTATGAGCAATCTTAATTTCAGATTTACAACGTTTTCTAAGAGCTTCCAAAGTTAGGAGATCACAATTACGATTATACATTTTAAAACGTTTATGCACTATTTTTTTTTTCCTTATGAGAGAAATCAAAGATTTCGAGAACCATGGAGGAAACAAATTATTTACAAATTTCCTTTTAAAAGGAACAAACAATTGACAAGCTTCATATATGTACATATAAAAAGTTTCCACAGCTACATTAACATCATTACTAGTAAGGATTTGATTCCAGTTAATGGACATCAAAAAATTTAAAACTCTATTATAACTAGCATTATTGAAATCATAGAAATATTCAAAATAATAATTATAGTCACATGCAAGAAAATTATCAATAATAACAATAAAAGTAGGGTGACTCGGATCAGGCCTAATCAAAGGATTACATAATTGCAACTCAATAGTTGATGCATTATAAAAACATAGATCTAAAACATGATTACAATTATTTTTAAAATTATTAAATTGACTAAAACCTAGAGAAGCATAATGATCACAAATATAAGATGAGCGTTCATCACTGAGATCAAAGGGTACAAAGCCAAAATTATCATCAACAATCTTCCATTCAATATTAGGTAGATTAAAATCACCAATAATAATCATATTATCATCACATGACTGATCACAAACAAAATGCAGTGAATTTATATGACTAACAAATTTTGAAAAATCGCAATTAGGAGGTAAATAAACACAACCTACTATTAAGGTACTAGATTCAGAACAAATTTTGACCCACAGCTCTTCCACCACGGAGTCATTAAGCATTATTTGACTAGATTTTAAATATTTGTTAACCGCTATTAATACACCGCCTCCATGACTTTTGACACTACTAATAGCATTTCTGTCAGTACGAAAGACTATATAGCGATCATCAAAAACAGATGTACTAATAATATCATCAGATAACCAAGTTTCTGTAAGGACAATAATAGGATATTCCTCAGAGAGGACGGCACAGTAGAAATCCTTCAATTTTGTCTTTAAGCCCCTTATGTTTTGATAGTACACTAAGGGATTGGCAAGTTTAGGTTTTTGGCACTTATTTGCGGCTGTTTTCCTCCTAAAAAAGAATTTTTAGGGAAATTAAAACGTCTAATGCTAACATCCTGTGGCCAGAAATCTTCCTTTAAAACCAAATCCTTGTATTCAAATGGAACTCCTAATTTGAAGGTTTCATAGATCCCATTGACAGAGATATTCTCTACAACCATATCATTAGACGAGAGCTTATTACGGACGTACTGTTTGACAACTGAGGCTACAGTGCCCTTAACGACTTTCCCTACATAGAACCATGCCCTCTTTACATAACTAGAACGAAGTTCAACACACTCTTTAACATTTTTTAAAGTACCAACTATTGTGGGAGCCTTCCTTCGTCCGGATTTATGAGAACGACGTTGCACAACCCAGTCATCATCTTGAACATCCTTACAGACAATTTCATCCTTCGGTTCGTCACGGGACGATGAACTCATAATGTCTTGTGTTGGATTATCAGCTGTTGCTTTTTTGTCTCTAGTATTTACATACTTTTTACCAACTCTATACTCATTTTTAGTGTGTGAAAGTACAGGGTTTTTAGGAGCACTGACTTCAGACTCAGAAAAATTGACGCTCTTTTCCGAGTTTGTGACACAATAAGATTTCAACTGTTGCATCTGTTGACCATTCACCATTGAGGGACTTGTTAACAACCTTACCAATTCCACATTGCTTTCTTTGAGATTACGTACATCATTTCGTAACGATTCAATTTGCATAAGCAGTGGCTCTATTGCCTTTGTAATAAGAATTTCGAACTGTGATTGCGGGATAAGTAATTCATCTGGTTGCGATT